AACTTGCTAAAGAAAGTCAGTGGCCACTGGATTGGAAAAGCATCCCAAAAACCTACAAAATTCGGAGTCTTGCAAAGCAACTTAGAACTGTCGCAGGAGCAATTGGGGCAGTTCAGCACAAGCTTGCTTAGCGGCCTGCTGCTGCGAAGGACTCAAAAGAGACAGCTGTTTGGAAACACGGCCATGCTTTGAGTAGCGTCGCACTGAATCAAAAGTTGCCCAGCAACCACGCTGCTGAACGTCAGGCAGAGTGGAATTACCAACAAAGTAGTCATGGGAGGCTCCTCCATGCCGCAGGCAATGAGGACTTAACTTCAGCTTGGTGATCTTGAGAGAGCGAACAGCATTCCGAAATTCCCCTTCAAGGTTGTTGAGCGAGAATGGGAAAATGGGACCATCCGTCGTTCCAGCATGCTTGGTATACAGCTTGCCAAGAAGAGTTCCCACCCATTCACGACCTTTCATCCCAACCATCAAGCTATCGTTGAATTGACCAGTTTTGGAGGGCTCCATCATCTCATGAGGATTCAAGAGTAGGGCCCATTGCTGGTAACGTTTGTTGACACCCCGGCTGGGAGGAATGATGTTGCTGTGTTTCAACCCACAAATCTTTCCAGGTCGAACATAGGTGTCAAAGCTCAGCATAACTGCAGCAGCATGAAAAACCAAGCCTTGGGTCACCATGTAGTATGCAATCCAGCATGCTACCTCATAGGGACAAGGGTCACGTGAAGCGCCGGGCTCCAAGTTCCCCCATCCTTTCTTGGCAGCTTTAGTCAGCGGATAGTTGGACCTGGCACAAGTGGGCCACTGAGGATATTGGATGTTGCAGTTCTGCAAGGCACACGTCAGGAGATACTTCGAACTGCCTGCCAGAAACAAGGATTCTCCAAACGCTTCAAGTGACTGGTCCAGCTGAGACATAGAAATAAACTTGCTGGTGGCAGCAGTCAGAAGGTTCACAGACACGCAGTAACTGAGAAACTGTGACCAGGAATCGTCATAGGCCTTCCGCGTTGAGGCCTTTCGGATCCTAGCTCGACGCAGGAATCCAGGCAGCGTGTCCGAGACCTTCTTGAGTCTAGCTTTCGCAGTCATCTGTGGGCTCTGTGCCCCACGTGTCGACTGCATCTTTCCACGGGCTAGTGGACTTGAAGGGGCATGGCTTGATGACGACTGAGCTCGGGACGAATGAGCGAGTGACTTGACGAATTTCATCCAGCCACCCGCTCAAAAACTCGGGTTCCCTTAAGGTCCGATGCGCCGCCAGTGGAGCCAAACCTTTAAGAACTTCAGCCCATGCATGACATAGCTCTCCTAGGTACTCTCCAGCTAGAGAAGTCTTCCAGAACCACTTAAAACAACCATCTGACACTTCAAGCTTAACTCTGCCCCTCAAATGCTCGTGTGGCTGAGGATGACCGTGGCAGCGTCTTGACAAGCTTTGTAGCTGCTTGCAGTTAGTTGCCAGAACAGTTGGTTTTCGGTAGCTGCATCCAAACCTGCAACAGTCATATTCTACCACCCAAGCAGACGACTGTTGAAGAGCTCGTCGAATACATGGTTGGTGAAAAAGGTTAGAAGACTTGGGGTTCTCCAGCGAAAAGAAAACGTTGCACCGATGACACAAACGAATAAGGCTTGCAGTCAGATAAACACACTTCATGGCACTCTGTAGTCGTTTTCCAGTGGTGTTGTTCTTTGCAGTGCTAAAACATGTAGGCCCAATGTGCAGAAACCAAACACGCCCAGACTTGATCCAGTCCATGACCAAGTTCTGAACACCGGTCTTGGTAAGATCAAAGCACAACCCGTTCTGGAGTTCAAATGGAACTGCAACTCTTAGACCCTTCACATACTGACTGCAGACGACAGTCGCGACGAACCACTGAAAATCTCTAAAAAACTAGAGCCAACCACCGGAGCGCTGCTACGTGTTTTCGCAGACCGCAGCGTCGGTCTGTGGCACAACTCGGGAACCATGAGACTTTGCAGCCTCGAGGGAGGAGACCCTCCACTCCGAGTCAGCAGGGCACATTGTCATGATGGCACCAACTGCCGGCCACCCCCCCCGACCGTGATTCGCAGTCTGCCGAAGCAGCCGCGCTGTTGACGAGGAGCTTGGCAAGGGAGGGTAACCGGTGTTGGCGCCGTGGGCTGGCCTTTCTTGTTTAGAAAACCGACTGCGGCTCGGCGCAACCCCAAGCATCCAACCTTTGATGCCTTTGACTACAATGTTCGCGGAAACGTTGATGAGGTTGGTGGTGCCAGAGCATCTCAGTATGGAGAATGGATTGCTGAACAGCAGAAGGCCGAAGCAAAAGCTCTGAAGAGCACTCGAGAGTGGAGGGAAGAGCAAGCTGCAGACCGAAGGAGGGCCAATCGTGGTGCCGACAAGGACGATTCAGATGAGGATGATTCAGTTGGTGGTGTTAAGAAGAAGAAGAAGAAAAAGGGCAAGGGCGCCAATGGCGGCGCCCCAGCGACATGACTGCCGCCAGCTGCCGCCGTACTGGGGGCGGCAATACAAGTACCCGTGCTTGCATGTTTTCGAATTCAACTACAGGTGGCGCCAATGCCGATGTCTTCCCGCTCCCGGTCCCTTTGTGGTTATCTAGGCGGGTTCGTGGCTCCACCTTCCTCACTGGTGATGCGGGTTCTTCCAAGGAGTTTGGCAAGCGTCAGACTGGTCGTATAGCGGAAACGGTCCGTGCTTTGAACACACTGGGGAGAACTTCGGCAGTTGATATCAGGCGAGGCAGTTTTCTTCTTGATGGGCATCAACCTAGTCGCAGGCCGACCCGTCTCCAGAGTGCCGTTCTCCAGAGACTGTCATCCAGAGTGGTGGCTTCCGGCGCCTGCACAAAAGGTTTGACACCGAAGTCTTGCTTTGAGGATGTGATCAAGTCAGAGGACATGTACTCGCTTTCTCAATGCAATGTCGCACCCTTCAACATCGACTTGCTGAAGGTCACAAAGACTGCAACGGTTCCCAAGCCAGCAACCCAACTGTTGCCTGAGGCGGAAGCCAGATATTTGGAGCAGCCAGATGAGTTCCTGATTCGCTCACCTGCGGAAATAGACAGGTGGTGCCAACTCAATCCCAACTTCCAACCTTACTGGGATGAGACCTTGCGACGTGACAAGGCAGCCAGGTATGACTTGTATCGCAAGTTGGTCGCCAAGTCATTGCTGGGATTTCGCCGGAGGATCAAGGCCAAGGTCGGCCTGTTCTTTGTTTGGAAGTCGGAGCGCAAAGGTATTCGCATGATCGTGGATGCAAGAATGCCAAATGGCTTTCATCGACAGCCGCCCAAAACCAAGCTTGGTGGTGCAGCAGCCCTTGCAGAGCTTGACGCCTACTTTGAGGAGTCTGACATGCCACAACTTACTGAGGGGTATGGTGGGCCAGTGGAACTGCCTTGCTCTCTTTTTGGATGCACTGGTGACGTCAGTGATGCCTTTTACCAGTTCTCAGTTGAGTCTTTAGCTGACTGGTTCGGGCTGGATGACCCAGTGACAGCAGCAGAGTTTGGTGTTTCAGAAGTTTGGGATGATGAACTTGGCCGGCTTGATTCAGTTCACCCCACAGAGAAGCTGTTCCCTGTGTTCCTTGGGATGCCCCAAGGCTGGGCTTGGGCTTTGCACTTTTGCAACACTGCAGTTGAGTATGGCATGTCTCGGGCAATCCCCCCAACTCAGTTTGTGAAAGAGGGTATGCCTCCTCCTGACCTACGACAAGGGCCGGTTGGCAGTGTTTATGTTGACAACATTGGGGCATTTGGAGTGGTTGAGAAGGTCGTCGCGACTTCCTTCGAGAAATCAGTCGAGTCTCTTGAGCGCGCTGGCTTTGTCCTTCATGAGATTGACAAGGCGTCGGTCGAAGTTGTCAATGTTGGCATCGTCTTGCATAGAGACGAACTGAAGATCAGACACACGAGGAAGAGGAGCTGGCGACTGTACTTAGCACTAAAGCATGTGTTGCAATTGCGGTGCATCACTGCTGAAGCGCTGTGGGTGGTCGCAGGGCACAAAGTGCACTACTTTTCTTTGTGTAGACCTGGCTTGAGTACCTTGCACCACACCTACAAGTTCATATACAAGTGGCTTGACCAGAGGGCGCACGTGATCCCTGGTTCAGTGAAGCGTGAGCTGCGTAGTGTTGTTGGACTTGTTTTTCAGGTGGAGAAGGATCTGGCGGCCCCATACGCCGACAAGGTTTACTGTGGTGATTCCAGCTCTTATGGTTTTTGCTTTCAGTGGAGCCCCTCGTCTGCGCAAGAGCAGCGAGACCTTTTTCGGTTTCATGAGCGGTGGCGCTTTGTTGAGGTGGAAGAGGGCATTGGCCTCGGGCTGGGAACTCACCACTCCTGGTCAGCTGAACTGGATGTACCTGACATTGCGTATGTCAAATGGCTTCGAAAGCGCCTCGGGCTCCCAGCAGCTGATAGTGGAGCGCTTGAACCCGGCCAGCGGGGCACGAGCCGTGAGGGCAGACGCTTTCAGTCGGTTGACCTTGTTGGGCTTGTTCCTAGGCTGCCCGACTCCTTGTTGCAGCCAAGCAGATGGAGAACCGTAGTGCAGCGAAAGTGGAAACACCCATGAACCGATTCACATGAAGGAAGGGAGGGTTGCCTTGATGTCTTTGAGACGCGAAGCGCGATCTGTCGCGTCCCACGGCAAACGACTCCTCACACTCTGCGACAATCTGTCAGCTGTATGCGCGTTTGATAAAGGCAGGGCAAAGTGCCGTCGCGCACTAGCCATCCAGATTGCAACGGGCATTCAATGGCACTTGCGATATGTGGAGACTGCTCGAAACCCTTCGGATGAAGGGTCTCGTGTTTTCCCTTCACAGATGAGTCAGTTCACTAAACAAGAAAGGCCAGCCCATGGCGCCAGCGCCAGTCACCCTCCTTTGCCGAGCTCCTCGTCGCCAGCGCGGCTGCTTCGGCAGACTGCGAAACACGGTCGGGGGGGGTGGCCGGCAGTGGAGGCCATTGTTATGAGAGCTGGTGAGGGATCTCAAGTCTCCGCTTCCCAGCTGAGTCGGATCTCCAGGATTCGACGAACTACCTGCTCCATCGACGCCAAGTTGGTGGGGTCTACCTGATCATAGCTGGTTCCAAGCCGGAGCACAGTGAGGAGGTTCTTCTACTCGTGAGCTGCTGCACTGTTTTCAGAGAGACCTGACTTTCGCATGAACGAGCTGTGGTACGTCATGATGTCCCCACCATTCTGAAGGATGCTCTCCAAAAAATCCTTCACCGCCTTGGGCCCGCGGTGGGGCCAGTCTGTGAACTTCGAGTCCGACATGCTCTCAAGCAAAGTTGTCGCTTCCCTGAAGCCAGCCTGGTGCACCCAAGTAAACGAAGGTCTCCTGCATCACCTCCAGGCAAACCAGGCCTCTTGGCGTTGGACCAATTGTCAAAGTCCAAAACATACAAGGGTGAAGATAGACCCATCAACACAGTGAAGCCGCTTTCTGGCCCCATTGCGCTCTAAGATCACATTCTTGGTGACGTCAGCGAGGTCTGATGCCGGGATGATGTCCCCAAAACGCTTGGAGTCCACATCTGCTATCCGCCAATGGCCTGTCTCTGCAGCATCTCCACCAGAAGCAACACCAGGACGATCAGAGTACCCTCTCACAACCGCCAGAGAGTCAGCCTGCCGCTTTATCTCCAGATAGGATCGCATCAGCTCCTGATTCCTAGGGATGTACATTTGTCCAGCATATGCTCCGGGGTATTCAGAGTTTCTGCTAAGAGGGACCACCGTCACTCCATCGAAGTCTTCCTCATACACATCGTAATCCGGGGTTGAAATGATCCAGGTAGAGCGGTCGACCCGATACCGGATCCGGTGGTGGAAGTCTAGGCCGTTGGGGTCACCCGCGAACTCGACTAGCATCTGCAATTCTGGAATATCTAAGGTTCTGGCGGCAGCCATACTCAGGCAGCCACTCAGCCTGGCACCTAACTCAGCTCGGGCAGGTGAGCTCTCGCTCTCAGTGATCGCACGAGTCACTGCCTCTGGGGAAGTTGGCACACGACGCAGGGCTGGCAGAAACTTCCCAATGCCAATCCCAACCACAAAGACCACAAGCAGCAACCACAACCAAGAGAAATCCCAAGGGTCACGTGAGCTACCAGTGGTAGTAGTGGTGAATGAACTGACCAAGGAGGTTTCAACACAGTGAGAAACTACGTCTTTCACCAACTGAGAACAAGATTCGATCCCAATTGTCACCCCACAATTGCAGTCACAGCTGGTAGGGAGCCTGGACCAGAGAAGCAGCTGAGACAACGAGTTGGCTAGGTGAAGGTAAATGCCCAGTGGATCACCCATCAGCCAACGCGCCTAACTCATCCTCGACAGATTCTTGAGCCCCCGATGTTACGGGGCAGACAACTGAAAGTGAACAACCCAAACGGGTCAGGTGAATACATACAGAAGGGGGGCTCCTAGTATATGTATGTGTGTATATACTGGATATACATTTATCTATTTATTTTTTATATTATTATATATGTTTTCACAAGGTGAATGGTGACCACCAAATGGATCCGCCTGAAAAGCTTATCACTGTAGTTCTACTGGAGTGGTGGATTGAATAAATATACAACAAATCAACAACTGATTGCCTTCCCACGAATATTTGGATATTCCCCCAAATCTATAAATGTATCCCTCAAATCCGCCATCCGTGCCATTCTGGAGAGCTTTCGCATCCCAGCCTCAAAGACCGCGAAGAGGCCGCAGGGCGATACCAGACCCTCAGGGAGAGTCGTTTTCATGGCCTGCGCAAGGGTCAGGGTCATCTGCGGTCCGCCCAAACTCCCAACGTCGAAGGGACGGGAAGGTGCCGCATGGAACCCCCGTCGCTTGTACCAGTTTTTGCGATCCCCCTTGTTTTGGAGGGGAGGGGAGTTTGAAGTAGTTTGAACTGAAAAAAAGCGTCTCCGAACGGTCCTGCTGTACAGGTGGGGGGAATTTCAAGTAGTTTGAACTGAAAACAAAAATGCGTCTCTGAAGGGTCCTGCTGTACGGTATGCGTGGGGTACGCATACGTGCGGAATGTTTCCAGATGGGGGAGAGCGGATGATGATGGTTAGGTAGCAGGCCTTTCTCTAGTTAGTGATCATTGATGATAATCATCATTGTTTACTTACCGACTGCTACAGGTCAGTTCGGACAGACCCAGAACTAACCGCTGGGTCTGTCCGACCAGCCTGTCCTCAGAAACCATGGAGACGTCGATTGCTTCAAACCCGGACAGTGAACCGAACGGCCCGGCTGGTGCTGGCATGGCCGGGCGGGCCAGCGCCCTCGCTTCGGCCCGAATTCCCGCGGTTCTGGCTCGGCTGCCTTCGCCACTGCCAGGAAGTTCGGAATGAGCACCTCAGGTCTGGCACGGTCCCTACGGCCTGATGGGGGGGTGTCATCCTGTGGCCTTGCCTTGCGAAAGAGTGGAGGACCAAATGCCTCACCAGATGATCTAACATACTACCCAAAACACCAAAAAACATCTCCTCCAGTCTGCTTTCTCGCGCGGAAACGTTCCTTGGTCTTGAAGCGTCCTCACCAGCTCCCCGCTCGGTGACTCACCTCTACATCCTCAGGTTTCCCCACCTCGGACGCCGACTTGATCCCGATGGCTTCCACTGACTCCTCTTGAATGTTAGCAAGTAGATCGTACACGGCCGATCACCTGGTTTGCCGAAAGTACGGCCGATTTTCCTGGTCCCATCCTGGTCGCAGTACCCTTGCCTTGCTTTGAAGATTTTGCTCAAGTCTTCACTCTAGTGCGGATGGGGAGTCTGATGTAATAATATTGTATAAATCCTTCTTTTCTCACTTTCACTCTAAGCTGCCCATGCCTCTTATTGAGACAGCAAAGCTTTGCACCGGCTGATGGCCACAAGGCAAATGTCGACAATGCCCTTTCCGACATTCCAACAAAGGAGGGAATGGCACACCAGCAGCAACGTCTCAAGGCCAGAAATCAAAACAGCTTGCATTGTCAAGGCTGCTCTCTTCCAAACCTAGGGATCTGCGCTGCAAGCAACTTGGCTCACCTCATGCAAAACAGCTTGCATTATTCAAAGTTTCGATCAACGCTTTAGCGCCCGGATTCAGGGAATGTTGCATAACTTGTGCTGCCACTTCTTGAAGGTAAAATTCTAAGGTTTTCACCCTATTCCACCGTCCACGCCAGCAAATTAGAGGAATATTTTCGGTCTGAAGATACAAACAAGTCGCTCCTGACCCGCGAAGACTCCCAGGGGTAACGCCTTTGTGCACCTGCTTGCAAGGCACCCCTAACACAGTCATGACCGCGTTCCACTGATTCCTATACATGCATGCTGATTGAACCACCAAAAAGTCGTTCTTTTAGGCCAGCCGGACCAAACATGGCATCAACGAAGGAAATGGTTTCAGGATCGGAGATCTTCACATGCTGTTGCCTGGCGAATCTGAACGTTTTCGGGTTTTTCAAGTGGACATACAAAACCTCGGTTGAGAAAAATGTATCTCGAGGCAGCATCAAATCACAACGTTCCAAAAAGATAAATTCGGATGGGTGAAGCATTCCAGCAAATGCGATCATTGTGACCGCAGCCCACCTGTTCCAGTTCCATAGCATTGCGCCGCAAAGAGCGGCCCTGAAAATGGGCAAAGACAAAACTGGTCGGCATTCGCCGGGTTCAGCAACTTGCCACTTCTTGTCTATTTGCCAAGCGGGCCCCATAAATGGCCGATGCTGCGGGAAACAATCTTGGATTGCAGTTATTGCGTAAACATACATGTATCGCGGATAGCCCTTCCGATACACATGCACGCCGTAGGCTCTGAGGGCTAAACTGCAAGTCTGATGCTCATGCATCAAAAGATCAAAGTCAATCTGCAACTCGGCTGTGGTCCACTCACGAAAGGAGTGCAAGCATTTCTTCATGCGCTGCGATGTCGCTTTTGCGAAGCCGATTTCCATGTCAAGTTCACCTCTGCTTCGCCTTTGTTTGTCAGCAAACACTGGGCCTGGATTTCGCTCAACGTCACCAGAGATCAGCAGTAACAGACGGATCCACCGCCCAATCACTTTGGGATATGCTGAAGCTTGGCAAATCATGTCAAAAACTCTAAAATCTCCACGCTCCAACGCAATAAGCCAGGCTGGCTTGCTTTTTGTTGGCCCCTCTACCTCACGTTCACGAGACGGTGCGTCGGCTCGGTTTTTGGCTGAATAAACGTGAAGGGTCCCCGGGTAAAGATTTGAACCTATAAGATACGGGATGGTCTTTTAAGAACCCTTGAAATCCTTTGAAGCGGCTCCGATCGTAACTCTACTGTCTAGTAAACCTATTACCCGATGATTGAACAAAGCTTTGGCACAATGCTTTATCCAAGACAAGTAGACCTGACTTTCAAGAACGTTGATATGGTTGCCCTTCCTAAACTTGTATTTAAACAATGTAGAAAATTCAAAGGAATCAGCAATTTCACCAATCCACTCAGGGTCCTCGAACCAGGCTCGCGACTCCACTGCTGACTCGGACGAGTTCAGGGGTTCAAAAGCTGGCTCTAAAACGCCCGGAATTTCAAGGCCAACCCTTTTAAACGAAAGCAGGCGCGCACTAAGAGGCATGATTGATGGACCTTCTTTCTTACAGCTGCTACTTCCTTGGGCCATGCGTGTCATGAGACTAGCTGGATATTGGGCTGAGTAACTGGACACAGCTTCTCCAACCATAGGCAGGCGTCCGTACACAGCAACTGCACTTGGCTCGCATCGTTGATTGAACTGCTCAATGGAGTTCCTGGTGAACGAACCCTTGATGGTAAAATGTTTGAATTTCCAACGACACTTGCAAGGCCCTGCAACAACCAACTTTTGTTATGGAGCCACTGGGATGGTTTATTGAACGCTGAAGCGAAGTTACAAAAAGCCATCCTAGTTACAACACACCCGCGCTGAACAAGAACCCTGAAAAGATGCATGCTGAACATCACAGACGATCCTGGCTGTTCGCTACTGAAGCAGGCTCCAGCGCTAACAGCAACAAGGCCCAACATGGCCATTCACGTTAAAGCCTGAAGGGTGTTGGGTATTGCAGAGACGGGAGCGTCTCAGCGTGCCAAAGGTCAGGCAAGGTGGTCCAGCATGAAACTCTCTGACTACCCTACGGTATGCCAAAGCCATGACTTCATGCAAAATGCTCTTGTCTGATAAGTCTTTGAAAAACAGACGGTTTTGGTTCTGCTGATAGCCTGGATGCACTAAAAGTCCTTGCTGCTGGTGAGCAAGGGACCATCCTCCTGAGCCACGGAATATCTCCACACAATCATAGAGCACTCCCTCTTCAAGGCCCGGTGGAATCTTATGCTTTGGCACTTCAACATGAGTATTTACAAGGTTATCGAGTTCGGGGCTATGAGCATTCTCTATCCCATGTTCGGCAAGGATAGCTCCGGCTGGTCCTAGCAGATTAGTATGATACCCACGCTGTTCGGCGTGTCGCCACAGTTCTGAGATCAGGGGCTCAGAGGTTTTTGCTGAAACTATCGCTCCACCGTATGGTGAAGCATCCAGTGAGAACAGCTTTTCACAAAAACTCACCCTTAAGTCCGCTTGTGCGCACGGCCCCAGCAAACAAAGGGATATAAGTTCGTGACGTGAATGAGACGACAGGCAGAAAACTTTGGTTGAGGGATAGTTCAACCCTTCTTTGAACAAGGCATCAATGAGCGCTAGTAGAGGTCGCCTGAACAAAACTACATGAACCCAACAACCCAAAATGGAGCTGAGAATCTGTCTCGTACAAGTACCCAATTTCGCAATGAGAGAAGTCATCCAAACAAGCAACAAAACATGAGACCGCGGTGCGCTGACACGGCCCTTTATACCATCGAAGTCTGCCCCCAAAATGGTTCCCCGGGTCTCATCTCTACGGGCTTTACCTGGAGGGGAAACTAGACCCACCTTCTTATAGGGTTTTTGCGCTGCGTCAAAAACCCGGCTGTCCCGTAAACTTGGCCTTTTCGGAAGATATTTCAAGGGTAGCCGCTGGACACCGATATGATCATCAATAGCAAAAAGTTCAACGAAATCACCTCTTGGGATGGGCTTGCAATATTCTAAAGTCCGACTCCAGCATACTGCCGCCTTCCAACTGCAAAAGGGCATGATGGCTCCCCTGAGCTATCTCCACTGCGTGCCCATCGCCCATGGCAAGGGTTGCCAAGGCTGGGTAGTAGGCCCTCAACCGCAGGATCAAAACAAGACAAACTTCTGACTTCGGAGGGGAAAACCTTGGTACCGATGCAATTCCGCTTAGCACGGGCCCTTGGCACCTTGAAAGTGTAATAGAAATCTGACAAGTCGTCTGCGGAAAATCGAAAGGCCTCACCCGCCTTCAGAGTGAGAAGAGCTAGTAAAGCGCCGGGGGCTAACTTTTTGGTGTAAGCACTATATGCCATCATCCTGGAGTTCAACACAGTTGGATTGATAATGAGTCGGTCATATTCAGAATCCTTTGGCACGGCGAAAAACCCAACAGTTTCATGGCGGTCAACTTCTTTACAAGGAAACAAGGCTAAAGAACCATGGGCATCCCAGATTTTCAGAAGTTTCAACAACTCAGGACGAGAACATTGAACACGGGCCCTACCCCTATCTGGCCAGCTTGATTCTGGCATCCTCAAAGTGTTGGGATCGTTGAACACGGATTTCACAATGGGATCTAAGAGATAAGGCCGGGGATCGAAAGATGGGGGATGCTTCCATTTGATTCTTGACGCAATTACCTGCTTGTGTCCTAGGTCTTTAACCGCTATTTCGGGGGGACTGTAGGTACATCGGGAATGTTCATCTTGATGTACTTCGTGATTATTGAAATGCGGAGTCTCAAAAGATGCGTACGAATCGAAACCTAATTTGATGTCATGCAGCAATGCACTGAGGTCCACATCCGCGTGCTGCGGCAGTTCTGCAGCGACTTTCCCAAAGCCGCGAATTTTTCACCGAACCGTCCTAAGTCCGCTGGACTAAAGGCTGGCACGTCGCAAAAGTGTGAAATGTGCTCTTGCAAGGTCTCTAGCGCTTTATATTGGGAATCGGTCCAAGGCTCGCCCGCCTGGGCCTCTGCTGGTGGCCGGTCTGGGTATCCTAAGGTTATCCAATTCAAAAAGCACACAACTCTTTGCAACAACAAAAACTGAGCATACAGCTTTCTCCTACAACGGCGTTGTCTGGGTCCCGGTGACTGGTTGCTAGTCCATCTCCACAGGGGTGGTGGGACTGGCCACAAAGGCTTGCTATTGGTCGGCAAGCCAACAGTGCGTGAGAGCCAAGCTGGCACTAAAGATTTCGATCTAAACGTGTTGTAGCTGCAGGGGACTTGCTCAACCTGTTGCAACGCTTCAACCAAAATCATGAGAGGCTCAAAAGTGTCAGCATTGGGTTTGAACGAAACATTGCAATTAAAACAATCGAAAGGGGTCCTAAGGCTCTTTTTGCAATCAACAGAAAAACTACATTGCCCCAGAGAGCTCTGTGCGGTGTCCCCCGGCTTTCGGTTCATGCAGTGGAGCTGCCCGAGACCGCTTCGGATCCCTTTGCTTGAACTTCGGCTTCTGAGACCGATCTTCTGCGTCTGCTTCGGCACTGGGGAGATTCTGCGACTTTCGGACACCGAGCTGCCGCAGTCTGGTGTCGAACATGTCCACGTCCTTCAAATAGCTCAGATTGGCAGCAATCCAGGTCGGAGGGGCCAACTTTGCAAAAGGAGTCAACGTTGACTTCTTTTTGTTCAGAGCCAGTTGCTGGAAATTGGGTTCTGGTAGGCCCGTCATCAACCAAGCCAACCCCGTCCTGCCTGAATCCAGACATGACTGTTCGACGAACATCATCATCCTTCCACAGCCGATCTCCCAGCCCCACGCTAGCATATACCCTGGCGGAGCAAAGCAGGTTCCTCTCGACCCTGTGGGATGCCCAATTCTGTTCGGGCATTCATCTTCACCTGATCCACCAGTTTGCGATCGTCTTGCAGCTGGCGAAGGAACATCTCCCTCGCGGCATAACCTTTGACAGAGACGCCGCTTGAGGAGCTGGCGGCTCCGTTGTCCGAGCCGCTTAGCATAGCTGCTATTGGGTCTGCCTGAGATTTCGGAACTAAAGCTTTCACTAAGTCCTGGGTTTGTCTCATCTGCAGAACCATCAATCGCTGAAGAGGATCCGAGCTCTGTGCCAACTGGGCCAAAATCTGCTGTTCCAAAACTTGTGTTTCGGTGTCTAAGTCGATCACACCTCTGTCGGCTTCTGCCATCAAAGCTTCTTCCATGTGGTTCCTGGAGCGGTCGACCTGTGGAAGGGCCGATTCGGCTCGCCCAGGACGGCGAGGTGCCGGGCCCACTGCTTTGTGCAGTCGATCGAGCTCTGCTTCTGTGAGCTGCTTTCGTTTTGCAGACTGGTCGAACAGAGTAGACTGATGACCTCGATCGTGGGCCGCGGCTGGTCCTTTGCCAGCCTGAACTTTCACTAGGCCCCTAGGCCTTCCAACATACCAATTCGATCCTTCAAGGCAGAGATCTGGTCCTCGGCATCTGGATCTACTGGGTTGCTGGGGCTTCCGACTTCGGAGACACCATCGGGCGGCACATCCTCGACCTCGCCTTCTGCAGCTGAAAGGTACTCGTTGGCAGTATCTACATCCAGCATGCTCATAACCCAATGTTCCGCAACATCCAAAGCTGATTCCAGAATAGGTCTTCCGACGGCTGTCTCGAAGCGGAAACTGGTCAAAGGCAAGTTGCTGCGACCAAACTTTCGAAACAGTGGCAGATACGACCAGGGCAAATCTGCTATTAGGACTTCGGCATCGCCCTGAAACCGACCTCTGGCAGTTTCGAACGAAACGTTCACTGTGGAAACGACAGCCACTTCCTCTCCCGGGCCTACGGCATATGCATGAAACACATCCTTGATCTCCTGGCCGGATGGCAGCATGACCATGAAACCAATTGTCCGAGCTCGCAGCATAAACACTTGGCTTCGCCATGTCGCACTACCGGTGGCTGAATCTGTCAAAACTGCAGCTGATAAGCGCTCACGCGCACCACCAGCTATGGCTTGAATCACAATCTCTGCAGTGAGGGAGCTGTTCACAGCTCCACTGGCCATCCCTTCCTAGATGCTTTACGCTCAATTGGAGATGAGCGATGCACACTGCAGGGAGGATTTGATTCCTGCCCGAGTCTAGTTGACTCACCGACTAAATTGCGAAGTGAGCGGCTTGACTTTGACCAAAAACCTTTGGGCTTGTCAGGGCAATACAAGCGAATAGGGAAACAGCACCGCAGTCCCAAAATGTCCGGATCGTCTGTCCTGAACTTCCCAGATTCTAGGCACCGGCGAGCTCGAAAACCAGCTCGCGCAGCAGCACGGGTGCACCAGCCGTTCACGGTGCTCAGAGTACTCCGAAACACACGCAAGTGATCAATGCAGCTGAAGTCTAAAGCTTTCACAGCTTCAGGGGACTTTGCAGCAAGACCTTGAGTTGGTGGGTTTGACGCCACCTCCCAGCCCGCCACGATTCGCCGCTCAGCGGCTTCCAGCCTCACGCGCAGGTCGCGAACCTGCCGCTCGATTTCCAGCAAAGAAGCGCGCGATGCAGCAATCTCCGTGCTCACGCACGGTATTCACCGAACCTCCGTTGCAGGCCGGTGGCTGTCTGGGCCACCAAGGGAGCAGGATGCAGCGCTTGGAACACCACCCCAAGCAACTGGACAGCTAAATGTCTACACCACCGAGATGCAACAAGGATCCCAATGCAGATTCCAACGAAACAGCCGCAGGCGCAGGAAATCCAAATGGCAAGGATGATGAAGCCCCAAGGACAGGTGCCCGATGGAGCGGAAAAGAATCGAAACTCCCTAAGGGTTTCAAGGAAAAGGGCGCTACTCCACATCAATTGAACCCAAAAGCTTGAGTCACATCGTTCCCATTCGCTCGAAGGATTTATATAATATTATTACATCAGACTCCCCATCCGCACTAGAGTGAAGACTTGAGCAAAATCTTCAAAGCAAGGCAAGGGTTATACATAAGTCTCTTCAAGCTATCCAAACACTATTTATGGCTCCCAGTGTCACGCCCCCAAGTGTCACATAGTGTCACGCTGGTGAGCGAAAGAGAACCAGCTCAAACTTGGAAGGTTCTGAACGGAACCAGTTCTGAACTCTCTCCTCTTCGCCCAGGCACATGTCGTGCATTGGCCTTCTTTTGGTTCTCGCTGTCACCTGAGGTGAAGGCACGACATCTGAGGTGAACGTGCGGGATGACTTCGGCGAAAGTGAGCACTGTAAGGGTGGAGAGAAGGTCAGGGAGTTGTGGTATGTATGGCATACCCATCCCAAAGAACCCCCACTTGGCACACTGTAGTAAAGCAGCCAGGGTACAGATGCTGGACTTCGGGATGCGGGTTTCAATCTGAAAGTTGATGTGATCATTGGCACGAAGTGAAAGGGCAAAAGAATCGATGAATCATGTGGTGGCAGAATTCACCCTCGAACTTGCGCCAGACTCCTACAAAAGCAGCTGACTTGTGGAAAGGGGAGGCTTTTAGGTCTTCAACTCTATAGCGACGGACAAAGACTTAGAACATAGCTTTTTTTCCAAACGACGGAACTCATGACTTAGAACAAAAAAAACGGACATGTGGTTAGAACAAAAAACCTACACACTAAGAACATATCCAACCAGCACCGGTTAGAACATAGCCACCTATCACTTAGAACACACAAAGATAGGGTTTAAATAAGTTTAGTGTTGCCTCAATGATAATAGCTCCTTGTGACGAGCCTGCGCTTAGAACATACCAAAGTCGAGTGCCATTGAGTATGTGACATTGAGTATGTGTGTATGACGTGTGTATGCATCATCGGAGTAGCGTGTTCAAAGCCGAGAGCTGTGAACCAGCAGCAGGGCACACATGCTTAGAACATCCGATCACACTCCAAGTAGAAACATGATGCTTGCAATCCACACATGTTCTAAGTGCGTGGTTCTAAGTGTGTGTTTTTTTGTCCATGTTCTAAGTGTATGTTCTTACCTCTTGTTCTTAGTCTGATGCTTAGAACAAGCCAAAAAAAAAAAATCCAAATGATGTTCTAAGTGGTTGTCTAGCACTATACAGCGGTTTCAGAGGAGATGGCACAAACCACAACTGCAAAAATGGAGGTCCCACCACCAAACTTGGGGATGGTGCCATCTACTCTGTCTCCAACTCTAACTAAAACACATCGCCTGGACTTGCCAGAGCCCTTTCCGACAACACGTACAAGCTCCAAGGCGCGTGTCGTATAGCCCGCGGAATACACGTGCAGCTGAGCCATGGCACGTGACCGTCGTGACCGTCGACCACGAAAAGCGCCAGAAGTTTTGGACTGGTGAAGAGTGTGTGACTGTTCCGGGAAAGTTGGGTGTGAAGAGACGTTGCAAAATATCCCAGGCCTCAGGAGCTCACTCCCGGCCCCGGAGGAAAGATCGGGCCCACCTTCTTCATCTTGGAGCCCAACAGGAACAAAGGGCCGTTCTCAAAACATCTCCTCACCGTGATGTTCCTGCAGCAGATCTTAGAGCCCGAAGAAGTTGCTGAGCTCCATAGTTTAAAAGCCCACAAAGAAGGAACCAACTCAAACCATGTTCATGATTTCCCTGTCCATCACCATTCTTCCACCTGGCCCTGCGACAAACGAGGTCAGGCTCTGTGAAAACATGGGAGAAGATAGATCTGTCAATGTGATCCATCTGGAAAGCAATCGAAAAATAATGGTCTTTCTTAGGCTGAAGCTCCTCAGCAAATGTCCTTGAGTAACGTTCAGCGGAAACGGCGTGTGCTCCGGCGCGTGCTCGTGCTCTGCCCGAAACGGGGAACACCCCATTGGTCTCCGTGAGCTGATCCTTTTTTGGCCCCTGGCCTTCCGGACAGTCCTTTCAACAAAAAGCCTGGAAGCGAAAAAAAGGGCGATCCCAGGCCTCAAAGCCTGCTTCAGGTCGCTGAACGGATGATGAGCGATGTGACCGGCTTCTGAAAATGCTGTGATCTGTCGGTACCGTCGTGTCGCTACCGTCGCGGCGACTCAGCGATGAGTAGCCCCTCAAGACCATTTCCCATCGATTCTCATGCTCGGAAAGAGCGGCACCATTCCTCAAAGCATCATGTTTTTTTCCAGTAGGGCTGATGCTTGAGAATGAAGAAAGCTGACTCGTTCTCTTATATAACCCCTATTCATCATGATATCCATCTCAGCTGCGGTTGAACTTCGGAAAGTCCATTTCAGGTGGCAGCATGTGGGGTGGAAACAGCTTCTCACTTTGAAGTTGACCACGAAACATCATGAAACAGCTCAAACGCATTGAAACCCCAAGCAGGATCCGAGGTCTCACCGTCTCAGGGATTCTTGAAAAACAGGCGTCGAGGAACTCGCAAGCTCGAAGACCCTTCGTCAGCTTCTTCCCACCCACGTCATCCACATTCTACATTCCCTAATCATCATAGGACCCTCCTATGGAGGGTTTGGATCCTGCCTAGCTGGGATTTGGACCCTCAAAACCGTCACCTTTGAGGGTCCTTGATTTTTAGGGCTAGGTACCCAGGTACCTCCTAATGTCGTACGATCCAAGGGATCCACGTCGACTTCATCAGCGAAGAGGTCTGAAAAGACACCATGCGCTCGCTTTTGGACGCCTGGAGACCAAGCTTCCCGTCGGTGAAAAGCTTCCCGAAGAGATTGGGTCACTTCAGAAGATTTCCCCGTCGCAAAATGCCGGGCTATATAGGCAGGGCAACATCTTTTGGGGACTTGTTCTGGGAATTGATTCTTGGCACCTCACTACCGCAGCACCTTGGGTGGTGAGCAGTCTCATTTCTGTGAGTTGTGAGATTGGACATGTAGCCAGCAGATTTCTGAACATCATGAACACTCAAAAGTTGTTGGACCAAGTTGTTGATCTCCTTCGTCGGACCAAAAGAACATCAACCCTTCCGACCCACCATGTTCAAGAAACGCATGTTCCTGAAACCTCTCCAATGCTCCAATGCTCGATCCAGCTCCACATCTGAAGCTCCAGCAGTAATTGGGCCCTTCTTTGGCCGTGCAATCCATCAACTCCACCGAAAGGACTCCACCCAAGCCCAGCGTAGCCCAGCGTCTACGTGCGTGAGACCAATCGATCTGGCGACAAGCTTCAAGGCTGAGAAACCCATTGGAGTTCAGCAAAGTTCGGTGCCATTCAGTGCGTTTCCGAACCCAGAATCATCTACTTGCTTGGAGAAACATTGCTGAGTCCCTTGGTTCAAAACCTTTTCTTAAGAAGTCCGGTTCTTCCAGGCCGTTTCCGATAAAAAAAGACAGACGTGTCGATCCCAAGTCATGGATCGGTGAATGACCGCCTATCAGACGTGTCGATCCACTTCAAACCCGAACCAATTCTCAGGTCCGACAGGTGGCCACCGGGAACGGTCCAACGTTGCACGCCATCGACCAGCAATTCTCGTCTCCACGTCGGTCGAAACGCGAAGTCCGAAGGAACCGAAAAACATTGGATGCGCCGTCCGAAAAGAAACGGCCTCATTGGGGGAAGCCCACCAATGAGGCGCAATGAACACTTCGAGCACCTACATGAAGATGTTCGACCTATACTGGGAGGGGGGCTCTTAACTCAATGGTGCACCCACGTCACAAGGTGCAGCCGCCTGGCAGGAGCTCCGTGTACACGCAACACCTGTCTCCATGTGTCGCACGGTCTGTGCGACCTTGCATGGGTGTCAGGCTGTCAGATTTTCGGCCGTGCGACCGAGATCCGCTCTCGAAACGTGAGCTGCACGCGACCCGATCGTGCGGCGGTGGATTCCAGAGGTGTCCACCATCGCCACACAGCGGTGGCGTCTTCGGTGGCGATGTGGGGGGGACACATGAGGAAAGCAAGCGTCTTAGAAGGTTGGATGCAACCCCTTCAAGGCTTTTAGTAACTGTGTGACGAAAGGTGGCTCGCCACGAACCCTAAACCCAGCTTGGCCGAAGAGAAATCAAGAGACAGGAAGAAACCAATATCCCTACGGCCCTACGGCGTCCTTCAGTTCACCACCTCGGATCAGCCCGCGCGAGCGTCTACACGCGGGAAAAAGAGCCACGGATCTGCCACGCGCGCTTCGCCGGATCCACCAAGCGAGGGACATCAGCTCAGCCCCGAAATCAGCGTGTGGAGCGTGTGAGGTTGGTTGGGATCGTCCGTTCCGTTCCGAATGCCATGGCATCTCACCACCGAAGGGCAAGCCGCACAGCGGAAGTAGAATATAATTTAATATACATCTATAGAAACGTAGCATAGTAGCAACCAGTTCTTTCCATTTGTCCTGTTTCAGCTGGGTGACACATGGTCGTTTAGGGGAGTGCGTTCCCTAAGCTAAGCACCTGAAGGGGTATTCAGCCAGAAAAGCATGCGATAAGGGCAGAAACATGGTCTCATAGGAATCTGGCACATAGCAGCCCAGTAGTAGCTTTGCACAAAAATGCTAGCCTTCAATAGGATGCAATCCATAGTCATACAAACATATACAAATTCCATCAATGAATCAATTATTTATAATGTAGACATATGTGATCAATGATCTTCTATTCTTCATCCAGCTTTGAAACTTGGACTACTGGAAACCATCCCTGTAGCTAAGAAAGACGACCCACCTTGCTTCGCTGATGGTCCACACGTTCCACGCTGATGGTCTACGGATGGATCGTTCCACGCCTTCCACGCGTTCGCTGACGTCACTCGCACTTCACGCCCGGCGGGCCACTGCAGCACTTGAAGGGATCCTAGCGGCGGCGAAAAGCTTTTCGGACACGGCAGAGGCAGAGTGATCACCGTCGAAACGCGTGTCCAAGACATGTTCTACGTGATCTACCGACCTTCGATCTAATTGGAGGTCATTTTTTTGACCCAAGCCAGCATGGAAAGCTGTGCCGGTGAGGAAAACCATCTGGAAAAGTGGCCACTATGTCACTATGGGACGCTTCCATGTTTGGATGGAGAGTGTGGTAGGAGCTTGAAGTGATCTCGTGGGACAGAATTGTTCACTGTGGGAGGTAGGCTTCTGAGAGGTATGCTTCGGTGGTGCGTTTCGTCCGAACATCCCACCGGAACACATTTGACTCTGGGCACGTTGAAATGAAATGAACCCATCTCTGGTAATTGCCAAGGTTTTGGCTGTTGGGGTAACACTCCCAAGCTCTTTAGTCGTCGTCATCACCATCATCATCATATCTTCTCGGATCGATCAACATTTAAAATAACAAAAACAAACAGGGTCTCCTCGTCCAATCCCCTCAAGTCTCGCCCATTGGGATATCAAAAAACGTCACCTGCGGGACTCATGCCGCGAACCTGAGGTGAGTCCTGCAAAGCCCCCGATCCCAACATCCTGTCCCGATGGAAGGAACGCAGCACGCCCCTCATCTCCTCTTCAGGAGTACTTGCTGTTCATCTGCATGTGCTTCAGAATATTTAGACTCCCAAGATAGTTTACCACATTAAATAATATTAAATAGGGATCTACCTACCAAGCCCACGTCGTCCTTTTCGACTCTTCCTGCCACCGAAGAAGACCGCGAGCCGGTTTCACCTCCACTCACCGAAGACCTTCCGATCCTCACGCAGTCAACGCAGTCAACGCAGTCAACGCAGTCAACGCAGTCAACGCGGTCAACGCGGTCAACGCGGTCAACGCGGTCAACGCGTCCACGCGCCTTCATGGCAGAGAAAATGTTCTTCACCAGTCCACCCTTGGATCTTTTCCGCTCCTCAGCTTGCAACCCGAACGAAAAACCTCTCCAGCTTATCGAGCTCAAATTGAGCGGACCTCGCTGAGAGAGGAGATCTGAGCGAGCGAGCGAGTTCGGCTCCAAGCGAGTCATAGTCGTAGAGTCGGGTCGATCTATCCTTCATGTAGATTGTTGAGTAAAACCTCCCCATGTTGATGGTAAAACCTCTTAACCTCTTCATTTTGAGGGGTTGAACATGGTTGAACTACGTATCATCAACAGTCTAGATCCTTTCCTCATATCGATCTCTCCTTTTTCAAAACGATCTCCCTCGATCTCTCACGCCGCAATGCCGTTGGGTTCCCCCCAGGATGGAAGGAGGAGCCGTTGGATGGAGTAAGAAATGCAGGGGGTGACATGCATACTTCTAAAGGCCTATATATACACATATACACCAGCAGTCACAAACGGGTGCGATCCATGGAGGTTAGGGGTGCCTTATGATCCACTCACTTAGGGACTAAACACCACCCCGTCTTGTGACTCCTGGCAGAATTTTGTATGTCATGTATTTTCATGTATGCTGGAGTTTCTAGTGGTTGGACTGAGGGATGAACAGCACTTTATCCTGAATCTTTGCATCTCCCAATGTCGATGGGGAGGCCAGTGAGGGGCTGCAAGCAGCTCGCGTTGATCGACAGCTTTGCGGCCTTTCATGTTCGGGTAGATACACTGCACTGTGCAACTGCTGTCGACCCATATTTGAGGGCATTGTAGACAATGGTGTATATCCAACACGAAGAGGCTTTGGCTTGTGCCTCTGTACTGAACCAAGGGAGTATACAAACTGACCTGCAACGTCAGCGAGACGATCTTCCAGCAGAAAAGCTCGTGGTCATTTCTCTTGATGAAGCCCCTGATGGGATCAGTTTCACCATGGAGCCCTGACTCCCGAGTCGTTTCCCAGGAGACCACCCTGTGCCTTTTTCGTGGGGAAAGGTGGTTTCGCCACAAAAAGGTGCCTTTTTCGTGTTTGTCCCCGCTCTTCCTGGATGACACCCGCCGAGACATGCTCGCCACGGACCCCAACGGACTGGAGGTGCCCCCGGCCGCTGGACGCTTCCGAGTGGCCGTGGACTCCGGAAGAAAGCGATCGGAAGACCTGCCATCGCGGGCGCTTTCGTGTCGCGTTCGATCGACCGAAGCCTGGTGTCGCGTTTGGAACGCCCCAAGAAGGACCACGTGTTTCGACTCCACACGCGACACCATGAGGCGAAAGTGGCAAGTGGTCAGAACGAAACTATATACTACACCAGGCCAGGAGCTACTAGTAGCGTCCGATCGCTCCTAGTAGCGTTCTATCTAAAAATGTGTTGCCAAAGTGAAGTCTTTCCTCCAAAAGGCGCCGGCTCCCCGGAAACCCTCGACCTGAGCCCGGTAAGGCGTTCGAAGAGCTCCTGGGTGACCCGCTTCTCCGAGTTCCAGATCGCCGCCCGGAACATGTACTTCCTGAGCTCACCAGGTCTTCGTGGTGAACAGGTGGTGGTGTGCGAATCGGTTTGTTGGGGGGGTGGGTCTTGGGAAAACCAAGAATGATAGACTGCAGACTGGCGAGTGGGGAAAACCCCCTAGAGTTTTGGGCATGGCTACTTTTGTCAGGGATTCCAGTAGATTGCCCAGCGATACTTGGTTCTGCCTGAACGTGTCACACTCGGATTGGTCCAACAATTTGGTGTTCATCTACCAGATTCCTCAAAAAAACACCTAGCTTGCAGGCAGTCCCTCGTGATTCCTGAAAATTCCCAAGGTTGAGGGTGGAACGCATAGATCTGGACGCCTCCCCAGGAAGCCATACATTGCAAGCGGCCCGCCGAGAATACTTTCTCTTGTCGCAATAGCCAAGATCGGCTCTAAACAATCCCCCTGCTACTTACTCAGAAGAAGCTCAACTGACTGAAATCTTTGTGTCTCAGTTTTGACTCTCTTGCAACTCAGCTACATAGTGCCGCTGTATCTTAGCACTTAAAGCTCCAAACCCCCGGCTCCAAACGCCGCAGGGGCTCTTCCTGGAATTCAGATGACGGCTCTCTGCCTTGCCATCACGACCTCGGTAGCTCGGTTGATCGGTGATGACAGCCTTGTTGACCGATCCTTTGATGACAGCCAGATCCGGATCTGAACTACATCATGTGGTGGAGCACGCAGAATGCGGGATCTCATCTTGGTATGAAAAGGGCCATGATGTTCAAGGTAGTTGGCAGAGAGAGAGAGAGAGGAGGGCGCATATGACCCCTTTCCAATATATAGGCTATAGGCTATATATATATAGGCATTAGTTACTATAGACATCTATAGACTACAGTATATATAGCAGATAAAAGTGGGAATGCATGTGGATGCATGTGGAGTGCTCCTCAAATGCAACTCTCAAATACGGCAACTCTCGAGTGTGTTGCTCTGAGAAACAAGGGACAAGATCAACCGGTCCCTCCCACTGTTCATCCCTTCGAGGATGTTTCTTCATCGAATGCCAAACTCTGGACTAATAAAACTCGCCCAGATGCCTGGATTGTAAAACCTCTTAAATGTCAAGAGTCTACAGACTACACCACTCACTCACAAAAAAGAAACGTCACATGGAAGTGGACCAAATGTCATCCTGTTGGAAGACGACTTCGCCCTGGGCACGAAAAGAAAAGGGGGGGTGAACTCATGACAGCTGTGTTGGTGTGGTGAACTCGCGCCCACGCACGCTTGCCCTTACGGACTGGCGCCGCGCCGCCGCCCAACAGCCACCACAACGTCTTTCGGCCCAAGTGGCCGGCTTCCGCTGGCCTCGGTCGTTCGTGGAGGTCGACAGGAGTTGGGGGACGAGGTTCTCGGACGAACTCCCGTCCAAAACACATGGATCATATTCTAGTTATATACAGTACATCCCAGCAGAATCAAAGCTCAGTGAGTCTGGTTTCGCCAAGCTAAAGTATGTGGGCTCGTTCTGTTGAAGAGGTAGGTTTGGGGCTAGCAGTTTGGATTGTTGAACCTACAAGTGACATAGCAATTTGGCACGGGAACAATCACTGGCTGAAAACTGTAGGTCTCCAACATCATCAGCATTTTGCGGGCCGGTTTGTTCTGAAGAAAATACCTGCTGGATGCCTAATACCATGAAAGCCCAGCATCGAACCGTACAAAACCCCTGCACCTGAAGTCGTGAACCTCCACTACTGGACTGGACTTGTTGCTATCACCTTCTTCAAGCATTGATCAAAAAGGCCGGATGAAGAGCCAAGCTTCCCAGATCTGTCGGCCGAGGCACGTGAGGCAGTAGAGGACGGCGTACACGGGCGGCTGACCGATGAGGGGCTCGAAGTCGAAAGGCGTCACCAGCGGAATACCGCGCAACTTCCTGCGTGGGAACCCACGCAGGGGAGAATGGAGAACGGAGATGGAGATCTGCGAGGGGTGCGAGGGGAGATGAAGTTTGGAGTTCGTGGTTTTTTTTGCAGAGGCGCCCCGAAAAAGGAATGCACACCACAGTGGGTGGATGGATGTGGCTTGAATTTGCAAAACCCTTGTATTGAGGTGCTGTACGTATGGTGCTTTTCTCCGAGGTCTTGTTGATGTACCCTCATGCCTCGTTCTCCCCCTCTAAACTCATCGAGTTGAGAATATGCTTTGAGCTCTTGACGGAGATGCTCCTGACCGCTGTGGCCTCCTTTCCTGCAGGTTCTTTAAAAAGGACCTCTTGTCCTGGACACATGACCCGCAGCCAATGAGCAAAAGCGGGTGTTGGGACATCTGTCGCAGACCGGTTGCTTGGTGCAGAACACCTGCCACGGATCGGGCCACTGCAAGTCCGTCTCTCAGGATCCGCCCGGTTGGACTTCGCTTCTTGCAAGCGAGGAGCCAGCTCATCCTTAGGGCCGAAGCATGCCGAAGCAACAGTCCCTGCATGTAGAGTCATGCTGCACAGCAACGCAATTTCAAGGGGATTGAGGGAGATCCACCAGTCCACATCACCTCCTAAGGTGAACCCTCAAGAAAAATCACATTCACACATCTAGGTCCCAGCACAATCAGGTCTGATCTGCCTCTCAAACATCCCGCTGACGGTTTGTTTGATTGCAGAATCCCACTATAGACCGCCCGACTCAAGGACATGGACTAGCGGCGATCGCGGCGATATTGAGATGAATGAAGGTCAGTTCCATGACAGGACTGTGCGAGTGAGGGACTTTGTTGAGAGACGCTCCCATCATGCCCATCCACTGTCTCATCTCTAAGGTCATCTTGATAATGATCATGACTCCAGGCACCTCGGGTAGCCATGCAAGCTTTTGCTTTGATTGGGGTGCCCTCCAGCTGTCCAACCGGTCGAAACGCTGTGCCCATGACCTGTCCAAGTGGCACATCCAAAAATCGGCTATTGCCCCAGAAGCCCAAGGTGTAGGTGGGGCCTGGTGAGTTCGGCGCGAGGTCCCACCATGGCCGCCAAGGTCGCCCAAATCCAAGTCCGAAGGCATCGGAAACTGGTGTCCAAGTCTCTGGAAGATGGGTCCAAACTTGAAGCCCTCCACCATTTTACCATCTAGCCGACAGACCTGGAAGAGGTAGGTGTGACCCACAGCCAGGTCGGCACACTAGGTGAAACCTCGTGGCATACCTCGTGATGCATCCCAGACGTTTATCAGACTCAATCAAACCCGCAAGAAACTGCACAGAAATCCTGCTTGGCCATCACCTGAGGATCCAACGCGGGAACGAAAAAACGATCAACACACACTTGGTGCCAAACAAAGGCCTTCCTGTTTGATGCATCATGATGCATCTTGTTGTTTTGTGTGATCCTTTGGTGAGAAATCACCTTGATCAACAGTGGTGTTCAGGTCCAATATAAATCCCAACTGCACACCGACCGCGCCAAAAAGGCCTTAATGCCCCCTTCTTCCACCGGCCCAAGCCGCCTGGGCCGAGGTTGGCCGCCAAGTCGTCCATCTCGCGGATGTACTCGGCGATGCGACCCTTCCTGCAACAGCGGCACGACCCCCCGGGTCGCGACCCGGGCGCACAGCAGGTCGTCATGGGCGGCCCTGTTGGACATCTCCAAAAGCCAAGGTTTTGGGTGTCAAAAGAACTTTGAACTGGCACTGGCAAAGGCTTTCATGGGAAAGATTTGGGGTCAATTGGGTCAATGGCCTCCAGAATGGGAAAGATTCCTTCTCATGGCCCGGAAGTGCTAGCGACACGGTGTGCTGGTGGAAGAAGAGTGGGTGCTCTGGCCAGGTCCGCTGAGGAACTCATCCGATCTTCCACCCACCCGACCTGCGAGTGGTCATCCGCCGAGTCATCAGCGTGGCTTGGGATCATCCAGCAGCGACGTTCGTCGACCGGGTTTGCTTCCAGAACCGGGAAACGAACACATAGTTTCCTCAGAAGGGGATTCATCCCATAGGGAAATGGTTTTTTAAAAAGGTCTGAGCAAAACCAGGTTTTGTTGTGGAGGAGAGGGGGTTCCCCATGACCGTATGACCCGTTCACTGGATGGGTCTCAAAACCTGACATGGAACTCCTGGCAGCAAGGTCAAGTTGGGGGACGAAGCGCCACTGAGTTCCCACAACCACTCCGTGCGCGCAGACCGCGGGCATGCGCGGTCGCGTGGCGCCTGCGGCTTCCGTACTCCGGGAAATCCGGCGAGGTCATGTCCGGCACCTCTTCTCCAGGCTGCCTTTGGTCCGACGTGCGACCGAGGTCTTTCCACACCGTGCAAGAAGAACCTCGCTGAAATGGTCCCGGTGTAGAGCGAGCGTGGTAGAAAAAAGGTCCCCGGAGGCAAAACAACATCGATCACCCTACCAGTGGCCCTCAAAACCATGGAAAAATGAAGGGTTTAACATACAAAAACCATGTTTTTTGCTAAAGAAAACCTGTTCTTTTTAATGGTTGCGGGTCCCCTGGTAGGTGGTGGTAATCCACTTTACTTTCATGTGACTTTTCCGAGGTGCTCGGCTTCGCGAAGCCAAGCGCGTGGAGGCGACAAGGCAAACGTCTCCGCCGCATCTTGAGTCTTGGGCTTACTGGGAATGTTGGCTAATTCGGAACCTGTGAAACAAATGAAAAAAGAATCCCGGTTCCGGGACTTGACCCGTTGGGACAGTGTTTTCACACTGCAAAACCAGGTGTTCCCACTCAGTCCTGGATGCCTACTCTCGAGGATGTGATGGACGCCCAGTGGTCTCACCGAAGCGATGGTATCTGCTGAGCTAGGCACGTGATAATAAACTGGTCGAAGGCCCAGAGCGGCAAGACCTGAGCCGAGTCCCCTGACATGGAGGGGAGGTGTCTTTTCACTCTGAAAAAAAAGAACTCAGAAGAAATGAGAGAATCATGATGCAAATCCGCCCGAAACCAAAAAAAAGATTGGTATAGTCCTTCAATCTTGCATGTCATTTCACCGTGCCCTGCAGTCTTGGGTCCAAACCCTTGGCATAGTACAAATCTAGTGCTAATATCAAATTGTGCCTGCTGCCAATTACCAGATTCTGACTCTAGCAAGCGGCATCCTGTCGCAAGGACTGACCACAAAACATATACCAAAAAACGCATATTACACAGAAAAAAAAAAAAAGCATGACATTTGACGTCCCTCCTGCCCCAAGTTACGCATGCAAGATCAAAAACACTGGGCTCGAACGCTACGCTGGCCCAAACCCGGTTGTGAACGGTGAAACGCCTCCAAGGGTGATGCCCGGGCGTTCGCTCCCTCAAGCTGAGGGCACAGGTGGTTCTGTCGATTCCTACATACCTTTGGAGCTATGTATGAACACCTAGTTACCTAGTTCCCAAAGATGCCAAAGATACGTCCATTTGGAGATATCACCCTTGAGGTCGTTGTTGTTTTTCTCTCCTTTCGCCTCGAAAAAGGACCAAAACAGCTCCAACCGAACTCCCCTCGTCCCGGCGTCCCGGACGATGGTCGGCTTCTCGGATTCCTCTCCTGGGATGGCCTGGCCGGGTGGTGTAGATCCCATTCCGTCACAATAAGACGAGTGAGTCGGACTGGAAGGTTCTAGGTGGAGTCATCAATAGTCGTCAGGGTTTGGGCATATTCTTATTATATATCTACTATAGGAACAAGAAGCAGGTGGAGGCTATCGCTATTGGGTTGGAGGCCATCTCTTCTAGTAACAAGAAGCTACTACGTCATGGTTTGGGATGGTTTAGGTGTAATTATATATCATATATCCCAGACACCCTGGGGCCCAGCGGATGATGGGGCCTGGGTTGTGGGCCTTTTTCAAAAATAGTGAAGAACACCGAATCCAATTGAGCGGTGTTCCAGCATGTCGTTGTTTCTGAGAAGTCCCGTCAAACACAGATTCTTATGCTAGGTCGGCCACGCAAGGCTTACAAGGCTTACGTTTTCCTGAGCTTTGCTTTTGGCGACACAGGTAGGTGTATGTGTACATTGTGCTTACGGCCGCTTACAGCCGCTTACGGCCGAGGTCTGTGCCTTCTTCGATATCTTTGGGCCCAGCTGTCACGAAAGCAAACAACTTCAAAAAAAACGCAACCGTACCGCACCGAGCTCTGGAGGCACATCCTTAAGGCGAAGCTGATGGACATCGTATCAGCTGACGAATCAATGAGTTCACAACTTGTTCGCCGACCCCACACCTCAAACATGGACAGGTGAATTTCGAACACCTCAAGCCTCAAATGGATTTGAGTTTTCATGTTCCCAGAACTTGGACCAACACATCGTTGGGGAGTCTTGCTGTACTCAATACACACCTGTCGCGTTGGGGGTCCCTACCTCAATTGGCCAAAAAAGAACGTCAGTCGCGTTGAGGAGCCCTGTTTTGGGAGTACAACTGAGGGTCCCCTTCCCCGTCAAAAAGGATCTGAAGATTCATGAAAGTACCTGCCACACATGACTTTCGTGTCGGACCGAAAGTGCTCGTGTTGGCCACATGCCATCCGCACCTTAGCCGGATCGTCCCCCTGAGTGTTGTACACACCACCCACGGCCTGGCCAAACGCGGCGCGCTTGCGCGTGGAAGCGGCGGCGGCGGGGACACGGCCAAAAAAGGTGGCAAAGACCTTGACTGCCCTGGCTGGAAGGAAGATGATCTTGTTGGACTTGCATCTGCCTGACCCCAAGCAGCCCAACCTTCTCCATCCACATCCAAACCCTTCCCATCATCCTCGGACTGCACCCAACATCCTCTGTCCGCCTGCCGAATGGCGGCCACCGAGAGCTGCACCACTCGCTTCGCCGCGGCGGGCAGGTGGACGTAGTCCTGGGGCCAGTCGATCACAGCGACTGGCCGATGCTGGAAATAGACAAAGAAAGCAAGTAAATACCAGCACCTTCAAAGGGGTCACCAACGGAAGTACTTAGGGCCTTAGGGATCTCCATTGGGCACCCCTTGAAGGTCCAGGTATGAAGTATATACAATAGAGAGCAAACACCAGTTGCCATTTACATTCATGAAGGGTGTCATGAAGGTAGAGACAACAATTGAGCCTCTTCTCAACAACTTCCAACACTTGCGCTCTCGCGTTGTGCTCTCGCGTTGCGCTCGCGTTGTGCGCGGCTGTGCTCCTCCAGCTCCACGCCGAAATAGAGATCTTTGCAGGGCAGCGGCTTCTTACACACGAATTGAATCCTCGGGACTGCCACGCAGAGGCTTCTGGAGATGCTGTGATAGCTGCAGGGGGGTGATCTTCATAGTGGGTAATGAACAGAAGTAGAAACAATCTGGCTGTAGAGCCTGAGAGAATGGGCTATTGCCACCTGAAATGAGTCGCATGGGACATTGAAGGATCAGGATGATCTTCTCAAGCCACCACGACCACAGAATGAAGGGGGAATCCTATGTCTGTGTCTACCTGGACCTTCAAGGGACGCCCAATGGAGATCCCTAAGTACTTCCGTTGGTGACCCCTTTGAAGGTGTCTGAGGTGTTGTTCCAAAGAGATCCTTGGAAAGAATATGGACTGATCATCTCTATATAGGTGCCTTTCTCCAGGCCGTCACGGGGTTCCGTCACGGCTCACTAATCCACTCGCGGACGATGTCCCGACCGAGTTCGGTCACCAAGGGGCCGAAGTTCCCAGAGACCTCAGGTTCGTTTTTGGACACTCGGTGGTCGGCCTCACCAGACCACCACGGGAGAGAGGGGCGGCCCTGGGGGCCAACGTCGAAGCAACTCGAATTTCTGCGCACCTGTCGGGTGGCGGCTCTTCTTGCGCCCATGTCTGGGGCCGTTGGGTCTTCGGAAACGACTCCAGAATCGCCCATGTCTGAGGTTCGGAAACGAATCGTGTGGGATTGGACGGATGTATCTTACCCAGGTCTCAGAGTGTGAGGCTCCTGTCTTACCCATGTTCCCAAGAGGTTTCGAGGCGCCTGATCTGCCATCCTCCAAGAAGGTTTCGGCGCCCCAATTGGATTGCAACATGTCTAGGTGCGGCGTTCAACACCTGTTGGGGGGTCCAGAAACTCAACACAGCTTCAATCGGAGCTTATACTCAACTGAAACCAGATTCCACTTCCACACCCTGCTCGCAGGGCGCGGGGGGGGGGGGGGCCTCAAAAGGTGCTCTCTTCAATGCACTTTTGGAAAGACCTGCAGTCACAGAGCTTCCGAAAGCCGGATCTCCACCATTCTCCACCAACATCGCTTTCCAGTCCCACCTGGCACACCCCATCCAGTCCCACCCAGTCCCCGCAGCGCGCTCCCGCCGAAAGGGCCACGCCCCACGCTCTGCCGCTCTGCCGAAAAGAATGGCTTCAGAACAGCAGATTCGAAGCAGATCCATGTTCAGTCTCCCCAAAAGAGTTACAACCCAAGTCGCCCACAACCTCGTGCAGACCCATTAACCAAAAAGCCACGACTTGAACCCATTCGCAGCGTCGAGTCTTCACCGGCTCACAAGTCTTGTTCACCCCAACCAGCCAAGTCCTGAGCCTGTGAATCCCTCGACCTTCTCCACCACTCCACCGGGCCACGGGTCTTCCCTCGGAAGTACTCGGCGAAGTCCAGCCCCCCCCGAGGCCCCGCGAAAGGCGCGGCCGTCCGTGGGCGGGTGGAAGAAGAAGTAGCCTCGGCGGTCGGTCGACGGTGGGAAGGTTCCAAGAGAGGTAGCCAGTGAGAGGTAGAACTTATGGTTCCAAGAGAGGTAGAACTTAAGGTATCTTAAGGTCCATTCTGGGGTACCTATGGGATAGTCTAGTTCAGGTTCTTCAACCTCTGTTGGTTGAGGTTGGTGAGTTCCGTTTGGATTTCGCGGGGAGACGGTGGGAGGCGACGGCACCTGGTTCAAGCAGATCTCCTTTTGGAAGCCCCCCGGACGAAAGGGGGGGTCCCGAGATTCTCCAGATAGTCTCGGATCCACTTCAAGAGGAATACCTAATTCTCCACAAGTTCTACCAGTTCAAGTACAGTAAAACATAGAAGATCACAGAAGTGGCAAAGGCCACGCAAGAAAGAGAAACATGGTTTTCAGTGCCATGCCATCCACTTCCAAAGGAAGATGGTTCTAACATGTTCTAACATACAGCATCAGGGGCCCCACAAATCCTAAATAACAGGTGTCCCCTAGCAAGAAACATGGTTTTTGCATCTGAACACCTAGTGTTTTTCAATGCTCTTGAGGGCCACTGGTACACCCCGGTTCTGAACACATGACCGCAGGGCGGCCCGTTTGCCCCCGCGTAGGACGCCAAGGGACTACCTTTGCAAAGCTCCGTCTCAAAGGGAAAAGGCTCCTGAAGCGGCTTGGCCGTGCTGCGGGGCGAAATTGGCTGCGCTGTCTCTGCATGTCTCGTTCCGTTCAAAGAAAACGAACAACAGCAACGACAAATGTCGACGTTTTGTGTTAGTTTTTTAATGGTCTGTCAAATGTGTTAGAGAATCGATGCCCAGCTTTACCTCTCACAGAACGCGCATGTTTCCCAGAGTTACATCTCGTGTTCAGACCGTGTGAAAGCACCGCTCTGTCAGCGTCGCTGTCCGCGCAGAGTCGCGGTCTTCCCTTTCCGAGCTTCTCCCTCGCGCTCGCGCTAAGGCGCCCGCCTCGGGATTGCTCCAGTGGAGCCCCACGGGCGGATCCAGGGCGATCTCCAACTTCCTCAGGTGTCCGCAAGCTGCGCTGCAGCGGTCAACTCGATGAACTCGATCCATGGACGGTTTCAATGCCAGGTACCATACACCTTTTTGGGCTGTTCACGTGATGTAGAATGTCGAAATGCCAGCAATCTAACCTCCCCAGACATGGATTGTAAGACCTCCTCAAGCTTGCAGAGGTCTTACATGTCCAGAATTCTACCTCATTCTCCTTCCTTCTACCTAGCTTGGGCATCCTGGCTTCCCCGGCGGCATGGCGCCCAAGCCAAGGTTGGCCAGGCCCTGGGGATCGGATGAGAGAAGACAGACTGCGCCGTCGGCACAGAAGTGGGTGACTGAAAAAGAAAGAAATCTTCAAAACATGGGTCTGCAGACTTCCTGCATGTTGTGGGTGTGGAGGAGCGAAACCTGTTTCATACAGCTTGTGGGTGTGGTGTGTGGGAGGCTTTTAGTGGAAACAGCGTCGCGAAGCGGTGGTTGCTTAGAAATCTAACCCTGGATTGTTGTGTTTGGTGCAGAGTTGAGAGGGGGTCTTCTGGTCTTTGAATGGTTGGTCATATTTATATACATATATATATATACTGTATATATAATATATAGTCTTCCAACATGAGCTCTACGTCTCTCAAACAGCAAAATCGGCTCGGGCTCTGGTGTCTTCACTGCGTGGGCGGGAATGTCCAAGCATAAAAGTAATGAAGTCAACTATCAAAGAGCTGCGTCTTCAGAACGAACGATCAAAAAGTGTTCCAAATCTTGGTGTTTAGTTCGAAAGTCATCCAGTTCCATCTTGAGCTGTTGACTTTTCCTAAAGTGGATAGCAACCAGGCTGGGAGGTCCCTCACGGCATCCGGCCCCCCGGCCTCGTCGTCCACTGAGGCTCCACCGTGGTTCTCAGTGCTTGTCTGGCACAGCGTGGCACCGTGGTTCGACTCAGGTGGGGAAGCAATGACCTTGGACCGACCTTGGACTGGCAGTAGTAGCTGCTTTGTCCTGCTTTGTGAAGACCCATCTAGTAGTCCTAGTCACTTTGGAGTGTGACAGGAGGGGGGGAACCGTTCCCCCCCCCAAGCATGTGCCGCTATGAACAGTTGCTTGGGACTCATGACACGGCGTCTGCAGGGCCTTCGAACTGCTCTTGCTCAGCTGCAGGATGATGTAAAAAATCAACCTGAAGCACAAGGAAATGGTGGATCATGGCCTTCAAGGAGGCCGGAAAACAAGTATCAGTATGCTGCGTCGCCTCTCCAATGTGTTGTGTCCAGAGATCGTCTGGCCAAACCTGTTCAAGCAAAAAGTCGCCTTGAGTTCTGTGACTCACCCCAACACACTTCACTTCAAACACCACTGGCAGTGTCTGCCTTGTCCTTAGCCCTCTGAAGGCTCACACCACGATCCCATCCAAAACCGAAACCGACATGCCATGGCACCCTGATAGGCCGCATCGAAATAGACCAATATCGACCAAGACCAGGATGTTAGGATGTTTCTTGACATGCGATGGACGAGCAGCTCTGCCCTTTGGGGCTGTTCAAAAAATTTCTCTTCAGTACCTCTATGTACCATCTCCAGCGTTTCTTGGGGATTTCAAGAATCCAGAAGCTGGCGCCTAGGACTCCATCGATTCAAACCCCTTGACACCACGTGAAGAACTCAACTCTTGGATCCGAAGTGCTGTTCCACCTGCCAGCGGTGTTGCTCCCGCAACGTCGGCCGTGCTTTGGGTGGCTGGCTTCTCGGCAGCGCCCCGGGTGCTCCCCAAAGCATCGCCGCCCCCCAGCCCCGAGTTTCGGCCAGCGGGTTGTATCCCTCAGAGGCCCGGACAGCAAGACAGCGAAGGTTCGCAGGTCCAGCCTAAGCTGCCGACCGACCACCGAAGGCGAAGGCTCGTTTGTCGTGGAAATGGACTTGGGGAATGCATGAGGCGCCCCGGCGCTGAAGGTTGATGTGGGGAGGAAGATGGGATTCGTAAGAGCACTGGCTGTCTGAAAAAGGCTGGCTGTCTGTGAATACACAACTTGATTGGATGCCAAAGACTAAAGACCCAACAGAAAATAGACTGATGAAGTTGTTTCTTGCTTTTGCATGTTTTTGTTATCTTCTCTTAGCTCTTGAATTGAAGAAAGAGACCGTGAATGCAACGAACTTCAAAAATTGGGCCACACGTTCCTGGCTCCATGAACCGCGAATGGCCTATGGCCTTAGAGACAAGCTCTTCGTCATCTCCAGGGTGCCTGACGTGGAGATCCATGCTGCCGCCTGCTCCGTCAAAGCCATGGCAGTCGTGATCCTATAAGGCTAAGGTCAATCAAGGTCTTGTGGCTGAGCGGTTGGATCTCATCACTGGGGGCGGAATCATCGAAAAGATGCAAAAACCACTGGAGGCCTTGAGCCGTTTGAAACCCCAAATCTCCACTGAAAAACCGATGTCCCTCCAAGGCTTCCCCATCTTGGGAGCGGAAAAAATCACGTGTTCGATGCATGGCTCACTGCGGCTCCTCAACACGCAGTGTCAATGTCCGGAGGTCATGTGGGTTTTTTTCTGCCACCTGAAATGGAGCACATCTTGAACATGCAGGAGAGCAGCATGGGGGTTACGAGAAATTATCTTAGGAGTGATCACATGGCTTCTGATCCCTTCTCTCCTAAGCAGCGCATGTCTTGAGCCGATTCGGAAGGTCAGGGGACCGGGAACTCCGATGGGCGGGTTCTTCTGCTCTCGGTTCAAAGGCAAGAACCTTCCTCACTTGGTGGCCATTCAATCAGACCAAACCGGCGAAAAGGGTCTTTCGGAGAAAATGCACCAGGAGATTGGCTCTAGAAGTGGGTCAGAGCAACGAAGAGTCGTACGATGTTTACCCGGTCTCATGGGTGGACCGATCGTCATTTCTGGCGTTTGGGGTGCTTGGCTCGACTCCCACCGGACCCCGGCGGCCTCTAACACCGTGACGGTGGACATCCACCGGGGATGCTGAACGGTGGGTTTGAGTTGGTTCACGAACTTCACCAGTGCCTCCGTTGGAATCTATGGGAGATCATGCCCCAACATGTCAAGAAATGGACCAATCCCACGGATGGAGGGTTCCAGGATGTTCCAGGTGTGAAGTGAGACCATGGGGAGAAGACGAGAAGGAACCATTTCTCCCCTGGATAGATCCGTACACCGGTCTTAGGGCTCTGCAACCTCGCGCAATGCTTTTGTTTTCTCTCTGCGGCGTCAAGTCTCGCCTGGCCGTGCGGTTTGGTCACCACAGAGGCCACCCCCTGCCACCCTTCTCATCCATGAGATGTGTCTCCCAAGATGGTTGGTGGCTTCAGGCTTGCAATGATTGGTTGGTTGCTTGCTTGGTCTTTCCTCATCCAACGGTCCCGGACGGTCTCAGGCCGGTCCCTGACGTTCCGAACCAGCGGCTTCCGAACGGGCGAAGGGACTGATCGCATGGTCATGTGCTTTAGTGTCCTTGATAGATTTCTCCTGTGGTTCATCCATTGATCACATGGAAAGATGGAAAGATGGATGGATGGTTGATAGTGACCTTGATGTGCTTTAGTGTCCTTGATAGATTTTGTGGTTCAACCCCTGTCGTCCTGTCCCTATCTGCGTCGATGCCTTGGAGCCTACTGATGCTACCAGCCTCTTCAGTGTAACACTCGATGAAGCTTGGTTGCCCGGTGTGGGGAGATATTCTCCCATGGAGCTTGGCGAACTCTCCTACCACTGAGATCACTGTCATCGGGATCTGGCTTTGACCCACATTCATCCGCCCTGAAAACATGATCCTTGAGTTCGGGGTCCAAAAAAGGCACCATCAGCAGCCAGTCCAAATTCCATATATTGAGACAAACCGAACCCTCTACTCATCTCTGCTCTAAGTGTTCTCTTGGGTCAATGGTGTGAACATCAACCCATCGAGTCATGCTTTGACAAACACTAACACCCTGTCAAACCACCAGACAAACTGCCGCCGGATCTGCTCGAGCTCTTCAAGAGGTGCTTCTCCAGATACTTGGCAACACCATCCTCCTTTCAGCGAGCTTTCGGCCGGGGACGAGAAGCACAAGCAAATTGATTGATTTGTCCAGCTTTGCCGATATATTCTTGCGTCAAAAACAATACCACCAGGAATCTACGATGGTGGTGTGTCTCATCTAACTTGGCCAAACACATGTCCAAAATTGAGTTCCCGAAATGGAGCTTTCGGCTAGAGGCCACACTCTCCAGAAACAATCAAAAAGATGAAAGAACAACACGACATACCATGAAGCCCTGAAACGACCTACCATGTGTCTTTACTTAGTGCCTTCCGTTTCCGTGTTTTGCGCCAGGTGTTTACGCCAAGCTTTTCAGGACCCAGAAAGGACCGAAAAGCTGGTGCCCCTGGAAGCAAGAACTCGCTTCCATTCGTTCTTTGGTCAACACGAAGCACGAGAGACAGACTTCTATACGAAGCTCTTCCTGTTGGCCTACTAAGCTGTCGTCATTTCTTTCTGACTTCTACACGTCTTGTCCAGTCTTGTGTAGAGAAAACATGGGCCGCGGGCAGTCGCTCTTGCCAAGGAAAACGATGAGTAGAGAACAAGATCGAGTCTTTTCGATTATGGTATAACACAGTATAACTATCCAAAAATATCACTTAAGGGTCCTTCGCAGATCTCGTTCGCCCCACTGCCAGTCGTCCGCCAGTCACTTCGGTCGCTTCGACCACCGGGCGGGCGAAGTGGTTTCTCGATCCCTCCTCGTTGGTGTGCTCGGTGGTGTCATGGCCTAGGTGTCGAAGTCCGGGTGAGAGATGGATGGATTCAAGTTAGGAACCCCCAGGGTGAGAAGGGTGAAGTCCCTCAAAACCTCGTATTTCACCACTGACCCAGGACCCAGGAGGTCGAGGTGGTACCTCTTTTTGGTTGGGCTATGAATGGACACACCCAAACAGCGGGGTCCTGATTTGGAGTTGTAGCCAGGTCAGTTGTTGGCCTGCTGTCATGCAGGCCCCCGAGGTATTTAAACATGCTTCGCATGGAAGCCGAGGCCACAACCTTGCACTTTCAATCCGATGGTTTGCCAGTGGCCTCTTCCAAGACCGCGCCCAACACAATCCAAAAACATGTAAACAGACGAACTGGGAGGGGTTAGGTTCTAAGCAAAGACCCACCCACCTGTGTGAAGATTTATTGGAGCGCCAGGGAAATCCAAGGAACTTTGGGGAAATCCTCCGATTCGATGACCGTTGCACCTCAACCAGGCACTGAGTCATAACACCTATATACTTTTGATTCCTTTTGCCGGTTTTCTTTTTGAAACGGGGAGACTGCCTTGAAGCGATATAGTGGTCCCAAAGTAGATGGCAACTCTGAAAATAGAATATGATATGAATTTGCCCTTCCTATTTCGTGTGGCCCCATTCGGCATGTTGACAAGGGCAGCGACATGTTCCATCGGTTCTTCCAAAACCTGTTTCCCAGGTCGGAAGTGGCTGCTCACCGACCGCGGCGACCCACCCAGCGACCCAGCGGCCCACCAGGGCCTCTCGACCTATCCCCGCCAGTGCGGGAAGATGATTTGCCATCCTCACGCCCCAGCCTCGGTTCCACATGTCCACCGAAGCGATGGTCGACGCCCATCGCTTAGACTCCCAAAAGGAATAATCGAACAAATACACCTGACCGGCACAACATGTAAGCAGGATTTTTCCCGAAGGACATCCATGTCGAAGAATATATGCTGCGTGAGTCACTTCCAACATGCTTTCCCGAAGACTTCCTTGTGTCATGCATTTCTTTGCCCTTTTTGATTCAAGTCTTTTGTGCTAAAAAACCCTAAGTCGCCCAAAAGTACGAAAAGCAAAGCCAAATTCAACGAAATGGTAAGCAATGGAAAATGACATGAACATGACACGGTAAGCCTGCGATTTGGAGCCAACACCCTGCGATTCTTAGGGAAGGGTTCTTGGCCAAGAGTAAACCTTTCCAGCCACTCTCTGACAGCCCGGTGAAATCGTGTGCTCTCCCAAACACTTACAGGTCCATTGAGTCGATCCAGAGCTGGATCGAAGCTTCACGCCGCATCCCACGTATCACAGACCGCCTCATCAGAGTCCATTGGACACCCCGGTGCCTTCAAATGTGCCTGCTTCATAGATATACAGTGGGCCATCAGAGTAGATGGCACTGTGCCCCCAAGATGTCCTTTAGATGGGGGGTTCCATATAACCCACCAAACTTGGGGATTGTGCCATCTACTCTGAACCCACTGTACATAGATCTACGACACCCCTATCCTTCCTATACATACCTGTCCAGGTCTGCTTCCTCCAAAGAAGATTGTACGAAAAATGGCCCCCGACCGCGGTCTCGGCCGAGCGCGCGCCTGTTTCGGGGGCCACGCGGTCCCGGCGAACCGGAGCTGAGGTTCCACGCCCACCTCGCTGAGCATGCGCACATCGTTGGCATCGTCGCCGAAGGCCCAGACCTGGGGGCGGGAGGGAGCGCGAAACGACAAAAGGAGGGCCATTCGCTGCCGAGACGCGTGGAGGGGATCGGTCTGAAGAATTCATCGAAATCACAAAGCAAACACAGCTCTTCAGGGAGTCATCATGACATCTGTCTATCATCTGTAGCTCTTTGGAAAATGAAGTTGGAACGCACTTACTCAGCTGTGTCTCCAAAAGAGCATGGCAGCTGTTCGAGACCTCCCAGCAGCCGAAAAAGGGCTTTGGAAAGGATGAATTCGATGGACCTAGGGGAGTGAAAGGGAAGTGATTTCAGCAAGAGAACTGAGAACCCCCAGAAACCGTGTCTTAACGAGCTCTTTGGGATTTCTGATGGGATCTTTGAGTATACTGTAAGCTTTTAAGCCTGTAAGCATTCTCAAGGATCTCAAGGATCTCTTGAAAGGAAAAAGAGTACACTCCCACTCACCAACTTTGAAGTGGACAACCCCCTGTTGGTAGATGAACATATAGAGTCTTCCGGACCATTCTCCACTATGAGTGGCTCGGAGGTTCTTCGAATTTCGCCTCACCCGGTCTTTTGCTGGCTCCTTTTGGGACTGGGCGCCTACTCATCCAGATACCGAACAACATCTCGTCTCGTGTCCGCTGCAGAACCGCCCGATCCACCAGGCCACATTCTCCAGTGGGATCCCAGCCACCTGGAGAAAGGTGAGGGAGATCAAGGAAGTCCATCAGACTGGGAGGGGGTGGAGCCAATGGATCCTGACTCATCTCCATGCATCTCCATGCATCTCATCCATTCTTCATCGAGTTTTCCCAGAAGAACAAGTGTTGATCAGGTGATCCTGGTACCAAAAACAGGGAACGCCAGGATCGAGTGTGTCTACCTGGTCCACCTCTTGGATGTCTGACCTTTTCATCCCATGTTTTCCAGAAACGTCCAAGCCCCAAGGATGAACGCTTCGTTTTGCCGGGGGAGTAGGTGAGAATAGCTTTGCTTTGATGTACAAAGACGTCTTTCATGTTGGATTGATCAACCTTGTCTGATCTAAGTCTTTAATTGATCAACAACTCCGAAGATCCCTCACCGCACCTGGCACAGGTTCCGAAGGCCGTCGGCCTTGTTCACCCGCGAGCTCTGCACCTGTCGCGCGTCCGGCCATCCGAGAGAGGTCCGTCGGGACGGTTGGAAGAGTTTCGATTGATACCTTGAGGTGGTTTGTTACGGCCTTGATGCAGAAAAACAGGTGTGAGTGTGTGTCTTTGTCTTAGGAGAAATAGAACAAATGATTAAAAGAATGATTCTTGCAGGGTGAAGAGCTGCTGCAGGAACAATGATTTTGGAACAAGAAGTAGGAATGCTTCTTGGAGGAAGCCGAGCCGTGCATTCCAGTCACCCTTCCTTTGGCGGCCAGCTCTGTGACATGTCTTTCTGGGTTTTCAGGTCACTCAGTGACGGCAAGGCAGTTCTGGGAGGACTGTCCAACCCCCTTCCCCAAGGCAAACCTCCTTCATGCGTTGATTGGGCGGCGTGCATCCGTGCTGGTTCTGCACTCACCAAACTCCAGCCTAAAATCACGCTGAGCGACTGAATCAAGTTCTTGGGTTCAGTTCTTCAACAAGGAAACCTGGCGTGTAAGCGTGTGGACCACATGTTCAGAGACCCTTACATCGATAGACACTCAAAAATAAAGGACCCACAGAGACACACCGTGGGTCTTCGGTATACCGCTGGGTGGGGGTCTTCCAGGATTGTCCATAGAGCTCGCCTGAGTTGAAGGAGTTTAGGCAAGATGTTTGATCAATTATAATCAAATTCTATATCCCCCACCCCTGAAGGGGGGAGGAGCTAGAGGACTTTGACCCACCCACCACCTCAGCCAATTCGCGTCTCAGCAAACCGTTACATTTCCCCCATCTTCCCTGCGCCTCACAGCAGTTCCGCCTTGGAGGTTTTGGAGGATGAGACTTGGGAAGAAGATCGGAAAAGAAACACCGTGAACCTTTGCCGTGGACCATTTGGGGACCACCTGGACCTCAAAGACCAATTCTTGGGTTCCTCGCCAGACCATACCCTACCCCATGCCTTTGGAAAGTCCTGACACCACAGCTATGCCTGGATGACTTTGCTGGGCCAGGCTTGCAGGTTTTTGCTTTTCCCCGGTACAGTGCCAGGAAGCTGACGCTTCAATCAACCAATGGCAAACGGTCACACAGTTTTGCACCCTTCCGACAAGCTTCAGACACGAGGAAATGCCGGTGTTTCTTCAATGCAAGGAAAATTGAACTTGTTTCAAGGACCTGTCCTGAGACAAGTGTCAAACTCAAACCTCCTGCCAGCACAGAAAAGATTGCAGGAACATGCCTGGTTTCTTGTGGTGCCCACCTTTCCTTATACATTCAACCATTGCAGAGGCTGGCCGCAGGCTTCAGAGTGAACAAAGGAGCCGGCCCCACTCCAAGGGCGTCCAACTGTTTGGATGTCCAAAACCCAAAGGATAGTTAATGTGGCTTTCCATTATTGTGGCTGTATGAAGTGCAGGAAACTGCGCCAAACCACAGGAAAACGCTTAAAACAGCATTAAAAACACAACAACAAAGTCCATAACCTGGCAGTTTGAAACATCCAAAACACTCGACAAAAATCCAGCTTGAGTGGTCTTACGTAGGCAAAGCTCTTTTACGTCTGTTCTTTTCCTGGTCCCACTACTGTACAGTACAAGAAGAAGGGATTCCAATTTCATCTTCGACATTCATGTTTCTTCAAGGCCCACATCTCTCATGCTGGTCGTCCCGTTTCATGACACCCATCTTCGGATGAGGACCGCAAAAAGCTCCTCCGGTCCTTCCACCGCCTCCGAAGCTCCACCCCTGACGACCAGCGAGCGCCCGGACATCTTTGGCAAGAGCTGCTTGATCTCGCGGACCTCCCAGGCTTCACCCACCACAGCCTTCACCTGCTTCATGGCCTCACCGAAGTCCAGGGCCTCCGGCCTCCGGAGAGAAACGAACATGTTTGGGTCATTTTGGATGAGGGCGTGGAGAACTCTGAGTGGGAAGGTCAAAGGAATCGGCTCTTTGAATATGCGGTCCTGGGGGCAAATCTAGAGATGATCATATAGAGATATTTCTATACTCAAACAAAGAGGGGTTGCGATCTACAGAAAAAAAAGAAACAGGCAGGAGACGTGACGAACCAATAGTGATGGCGCTGCTGTTGTTCAAACGCATATCATACCTCATGACCACATCCTGGGGCCCCCAGCAGGTGAACATAGGTCTTGGCGCATTTGCAGCCCTTTTCCACATCTTGAACCTCAGCCGAGGTCCACATCGTTCAGTGGATTCGCATGGAGGGAGTGGGGCACGAGTGGTTGCAAGACCTGTGGGACGCGAGTGGTTGGAGATCAAAGAAGGCCACAATCTGTCCTCAAAAGGGGTGTCACATTGGCCACGGCTCAAGAGTGGGGTATATGAGGAGACCATCCAAACTCATTCCTAAAAAGAAATAACTAAAACCTATGGCTGGCTTCGGTTGAGCCACCCGTACTTGCGTATCTTGTGCCTGGGTCGCCACTCAACAAAGGACCCAAAAGTAGAGTTCATTTTAGGTTCAACATGCTCTACAACTAGTCTGCCCGGTCCGCCCAGTCCAGTTCAATTTTGTTCCTTTCGTTTATGGACTGACGGCTGAGTGGCAGACGACATCCGGTACTTTTCTCCTGGCACCATCTGTGATGTCAAGGGTACCAGTTTCTCAGCTTCATCAGTCTGGGATTGACATGGCAAAAAACCTGTAGCTGCTCCCACAAACACCTTTGGATGGTCAGTGGCCAACCAAAACCTGTTGAAAAGCTCCCGCTGCATCCAGTCCCCTTTAGCAGAGGTATTCTTGACAAAGGCTCATGTGCTTCAGGAAGAGGCCAAAACTGTCAAACTCTCGAAACAAGAAGCCCATGTTGGTCGCAGATCAAATGACCTTCACTGCGAATTGCAGAATTCTTTCCGTCCAGTTCCTCTCCCCCCCTTTGTCACCTTAGTCCGCCGCAGCCCGGTGATCCAACGAGATGCTTTGGCACCCAAAGCCCAGTTGTCAAAGAGAACCCCCCTCAGATCGACCGGTCAGCGCCTGAAGATTTTCTCTGCTGCCTGCCGCTGTTCTTCATCCTCCAGGGGCTTCGGCATCAGAGCACATGTTCCTCAATTATCAAAGCCAAGGGTCGAGTCCACCATAGTCCACCGGAAGAAGCTGGTTCCACATGAGAGATCTGGGGATTTATTGGCGGTCTGACCCAGTCTTTCCTCATGTCTTGCAGTTGGGACCACCCCCGCTCACCATTCATAGAACACGAAAGCATGTCACTCGGCAGCGAACATCGTCGGTGCGTGACGTGCTGCAACCGGAAGTGAGGCCCAGCACCCCGACCTCCAACCAGGGGTGCTTCTCCTCGATGAGTCCTGGCGTGAAGCAACAACATTCTGGGAAATTCACAGGTCGGCATCTAGAAACCATTACCAGAAAGCCTGACGAGCCTGAAGGGTATTTCATGCCATGAAATTGGACGTTGCACTCATCCCCAAGGGTGTCTTCGGCCGGTCCGTCGCCATGCCCGATCCAGCTAGGAGATGTCCATCTTCGACAGGTACGTAGGATCGGAGGCCTCATGGTGGCACTTGGACCGGTTTAACCTTGGTGAAGTTGCTCTTGCAGAACATGAATACCAAAACTGTCCTGTCATCTCCCACCACCGCCCAGATCACCTGAATCTCTCCATCCAGGCAGCCTTCAGCCGCCGTGAGCTGCGCAAAAAAGACAGAAGGCATCGCTTCCTGCGCCGAACCCGAGTTCCTGGTCAGTCTTCCATTCCTGTCCAACCCTATGAAATTCCTATGACGAACCAAAAAAACATCTCCTCCTACCCAACAAAAGTGCCAACCACATCCATCACCAACAGCACCCAACATGGCTACTCGTCCTCAGCCCACTGACCCCTCTTCACTCCATCCTACTCTTTCACCTCCCACAAGCCTGGCCATCCCAGCCCCAGCAGTGCATTCTTGCGCTGGCCCACCTTGAGTTGGCGCAAGGTCTTCGCCACCTCAGCGCCTTCTAACCAGGTCTCCCAGACCGCCTGCCCATCGGCGATCCTAGCCATGTACCGCACGCGTGCGGGGGGGCGTCTGGAAGCCCAGATTGGGAGGTGGACAGGCTGAAAAACCACGGGAGGTGCAGATCAGCCCAGATGTTGAAACAAAGCTTCTTGGAAAGGATTTCTTGGAGTGGTTGCGTCAAGGGACACAGCACACCACAAAATGGGTGGCATTCGATGTTTGGTCTTTCTTTTCTATAGCTTACAGGCTGCCATGAACTTCACCACTTCTGGGAAGCAATGTCTTCTGGCTGAGCACCCCTGATCCCAAACAAGAATCCATGTGCTGGCTGATAAAAGAAAAAACGTATAAAGAGGTCTTACAATCCCAATGGGGATTGAAGTAATCGAGCGTCTATCCATTCTTATGTCCCCTATGTCCCCTGGCTTTTAGCCTCGCTCCTGATCGCCCGGGCACCGTTCTCAGTGAGCACATAGTGCCGCAGGCCCGCGCGTTCCAAGGTGGCCTTGGCCTGGCAGGTGGGACACCAAAACCGTATGGCCACAGCCTTCGCAACGATGTCTTCATCTCAGGATCATTGACCAAGCTGAGACTGCTCGATCCAGCTGCCCCCCCGATTTGAAGAGCGTCTCTTTTGCTAACTCCATAAGCAACTGCTCCTCATCACCTGCAAAGCGCAGGCGCGTAGGTGCGTGGAGAGTGAGGAGGTGCATACTTCAGATGGATCAACAAAAGGTGAGGATCTCCCAGGATGCTCTGGATAATGTCAGCATGACCAAGAAGACTCTTGACTCTTTGGAGTTTGGCCGGTGCAAATCCGCATCCCATCCAAACGCGGACTCTTGCCGTGTCTTCCAGTATTCTTAGGGTCCCCCAGTTGCCGGGATCGGCAAAACAAAAGCAAAGGTGACCAAGTGTGTGATCGAGCTCACTGCTACCTCACGAGAGTTAAAGACCGGAGAGCACCAGTGCCACACACCATGCTTGACGCGAGTGGCAGAACAAAGTGGAGGCACCTTTCATCAGGTCGCCAATTCGCAAGCTGCACTGGTTCTACGAGATCTTCCGCTGCATCGCAGCCTCTTGAGAGAAGCAGAACGAGACTAGCACACCCTTCTCTACTTGTATTACTCAACCCGTACTACTCAGCAAGTGGGACGGGTAGCCCACTGGTAGCATGCATGCTGGATGCCTGTGAATCCAAGACTCCGGAGCGTTCACTTCAAGTCTTAACTGAATCACAAAATACTCAACTTTGGAAAGCAAGTGTCAGTACTCTCCACACACGGGTCGGATTGTTTGCCTCCTTTTGTCGCGGGGTCTTGCCATCGCACAGATAGGCAAGGACTCTCAATGGTCCACTTGAAATTATGCAAGGCTCTCCAAGCCAAGAAGGGGAACGATTTCCAAACCAAACAGACCATCAATATGACATCACAAGTAGATATTTCACCTGAACGCCCCTCTTTGATCCATCCATCAAGGGCACAGAGCAACTGCGACTTGCAGGGACATGAGCGTCTTCTGCGCTCGGACAGTACTACTGCAAGTCCTGGACAAGTCACTTGAGCAGTGCAATGAATCGTCATCTCTCACTGCGGCACCAAGAACCAATCACGTTCATCCGCCATCTCGCAGCGTTTACACATCGCTGGAGGCGCACAGCCCTTGGTTTGGACCACATGCATGGAGTACTTGATTGGCTTATTGCAAGACATGCAATCAGCCACGCACTCGCTTGCTGTGACTTTCTCAAGGCAAGTGCTGCAATACCTCAAATGCCAGCAAAATCCAATGTCTGGAACACGTGTCGCCAAAATCACATGAACATGAAACTCTAACTGGAGCACTTAGTCTGCTACTAATCAAATGAAATATAGTTCTGCAAGGCACACGGCCCCGTAGGTGCTCATCATCTCAAAGTGCGATGGCCCAACGGAAAGGAAGTCACTGCAAAGATCACAGGCCAATTGATTGGAAGGTGATGGTCCACGAGCGCCTGGTCTCGCAGGGGTGGGAATGGCTGAATCTCCACATCCCAAGCAGGCGCACTCTCAAACTAGATTATATAACCACATTTTGGCAACAAACATCTACAAAAGCCCATTCTGGAATCCATAAACAAACAACAGTATATAGACGCGGCAAAACACGACTATTGGCATGGCAACTGCTAGTTTTTGTCCTCTTTTGACTGATTCATTTGACATTGAACACAAGAATTGGGTCAAAGATCTAGAAATGATTCCTTCCCGATGTCTCCCCAAAGCTCCTCCAAACGAAGCTGGCGTCCCTGGCACGCTTGAGACAACCGAAGCAGGGTCTGAATCAACGTCAGCCCCAAGCTGCATGGGTGAGGGCTTCAGGCCCAGGCACTGACCTGTCTACTTGTGTTAAAAGAGGAGGACGGCAGTACAGCAGCAATGAAGCAAGCAAGAAGGCTGAGTCAATCTCATCAAGCCAATAATCCCTAGACTCCTCAAAACCAAAGCAACTGCAAATCTCCCACTTCAGACCAAGCGGCACAGGGCATTGCATTGATGGCTGTGAAAGAACTGGTCCATGCCGGCAACGCCAAAGTTTCCGCGGCTGAACGAGCCCTTCTTCTTGCAATGAATTTGTGGGTCGGTCAGAATGGATTGGCCAAATCCTTGCAGATCAGTCACCATCATATGACCACCGGAGTACTGCCATGTAAAGTGGGAAAAGGCCTCTGCAAGAACGGAGCCCGGTGAGTCTGACTTGTAGCCAGCATTGTTGGTGTACTTCTCATAGCTAGCAGGCACATATGGCTCTAGCGTGGCATAACGTGCGACTGGCCACTTCTGGAATGAAAGCTTCCATGCTTCCAAGAACTGAATCGAGTATTCAGGGACTTGGCGAGAAAACTCTACTGCGAACTGCCGAGCGAAGGCTTGCGTTTCCACATCCGCAAGCGCTGAGTCTGCAGTCTGGTTCTCCTTGGACTTGTGAACCTTGACCACAAAATGCTGGCCATTGTCACTCACTGCAGGGAATGCATAGCGCATCCTTCCGCTTGCAAAGGGCTTCTGACGAATGTGAAATCGCTGCACTGTTGTGTTTGTTTTCGCTTTAGAATCCACTGTCGCATGCTGCACATCCACCGATGTTACAAGCACTTGAACAAGTGGCCACTCCTGGTGTCTTTCCCAAACAATCTCTGCCGTCTCCTCAAGCTGAAGAATGCCATCACCTGAGTCACGCTGTTTCCTTGTTGTTGCAGAATGACTAAGCGAAGACCTCAGACTTGCCGATGTGCTTGCTAATACGCACTTGACAAAGTCATCAGTGTTGTTTGCAGGGGTCAGCACCAAAGTCTGCAGCCCATGCTCCTGCAGTGCCTTCAGAGAGGTCCGGAGCTCATTCAAGGTTTGAAACATCTTCGTGCAGTTGTCATGATACTGCAATCCAACGAAATGGATCTGCAGCCGGACAGACTGGGCAATGACTTCCTCTGTTGGCTCCCACTGTTTAGGATCATCTGGATGGTGATCAAATATGGCTCTTCTTGTGTTTGCGCAGTCATCATAAAATCGGCGCCCGTGGGCTGGGCTATCGCTCATCAAATACATGATGCGAGTTTTGGCCTCCCACTGGAGTTGAACCGCCCTCTGTAAGCCACCGATGACATCTTCACACGTATCCCCTCCACCCGTTGCATCCAAGGCTTTTAAGAACCCAAGTACTTTGTCCACATCCTGTGTGAACTCTTGTACTTCAAGTTTGTTCGTGTCGCAGTAGTCCCGATAAGCAACCACTGCAAATCGAACAGTGGCTCCAGCTCCTGATGCCTTCAAGATGCCAGTCTGTATAGCTACCATCTTCTGTTTTGCAGCTTCAATTCGGGTTTCCATCGAGGAGGTGCTGTCCACAAGGAAAGCAACATCGATGGTCTTTGCTTCTTTTGCTCGGATCATTGATTCTGAGATTTCTGATTCCAGCATAGACTGCGCTTTCTTGATCCTCGGTCAGGGGAAGAATCAAGTCGAGGAAGCTTGTATACAAAAACGATGATCTGCAACTCTGAAAATACAGCTATGGCTATAGCCTTCTGACCCTTGCTGGAAGGCCATCAGCCTCTGGAGCATCCAGGAACCAAAAGCAAGCTGTGAAGGCTTGACAGTATATCCAATGTCTTCTCTGACAGCTAATTATAACCCGAGCAAATCGTCCTTAACTTCTATGTCACAGCTTCTATGTCACTTGCATGGTGAAACCTCAATCACCTCAGACTCCTGGTCAAGAAAGATTTCGTCCAAATTTACAAGTCTTTTGGTGAAAATGAATCCTTGTGTGTGTGATGATTGAATCTTTAGATAATTGTCGCACCAAAGAAGATCGAGCCAACACATTTTCCGACGAAAAACGAAAACAATTAGCCAAGCATCTTTGAAGCGCTTGCACGCAAGCTGTCCCTGCGACGAGTGCTCCCATTTGTTCGAAGGCAAAGCGCTACCAGCTGCCTTAGGCTTGGCATTCATGGTACCCTTATGACATCAAAGGGCTCTTGAAAATAAATGCTGCTTTACACTCCCTCCTACAAACTGAGCGTTTTGAGATCATTCACCTCAACTAAGGACCCTCTAGCAAAAGTAAGGTTCTGTTTCGCCTTCAGTGCTCCACTGTTCAGCAAAGCTAGTGGAGCGGGTTGCACTATTTGCCCATAGTGACACTGAGCTTCATGCCCCCAAGCTACGCTATTCCTGCCAAGTTGCTCCTTGGAAAGGTCACGAAGTCCTTCTTCAAGGTTTGTGAGGTCGCTCAGCTCAGTCATTCTCTCCGGATGCTTCAGAGGAGTCCGAGAGAACCAACCTGAGATGGCGTTGTTGGGAGCCAAAATCGGCTGCAGAGAGTCAAGTTGCTCGCTCACCTCCAGAAATCAAAAGCATTGCCTTCCTCTATCTTCCGTTTGCTCTGGAACCAACCTGCTGGTTCACTATGATTCAATTACAAGTAGAAACAGCAAAACAAAAGAACGAGCATGCGTTCAATCCGGCTCAGTGCTCGGAGACTCCAAAATACTCTGGAAAGTGAAAAGGTACTGCTGGACTGGTGGAATCGACACCAAATGCGCCTCTTGCTGTGCGGCCGTCCGTTCAGCTGTTCGACACGAGCTTCACCGGTTTGACTCCCCCGGCGGCTGGCTACACCAATCTCCTAGACCGCCTAAACCATCAACACTGGGACAAGTGAAATGGGCTTTCCAGTGCCCACGTCTTTCAATTCTCAGTGGTATGCCCTTGTGCACGGTATAATATGTTGGGAGTACTAACGAGGTGATGGGAAAAGGATCGTTTCAAGAGTATCGCCTAAAACGAGTCTTCGACTCGAGTCACTGCCCGGAAGGTGGAGTTGTCTTCATCCACACGCATGCATGGGTTTGGTGTCAGGTGTGTCAGGTGTGGAGGGCCTTTCACTGTTTGTAAGAAGGAGGGCACCATGTCGCGTTCCTCGAATGAATTGCGACATGACGCGCCTTTCATCGGGCTC